ATGCACTTCAACGACTTGCCTTACAACTGCCATCTGAAAGTCGGGTTTTCTGGTGGTTTATATCTCTCCCTCAAAACCAATTAACTATCAGTAATCATTGCAAAACGTGTCACGCACAAAAAGAGGCCGTTATTGACGGGCAGTGATTCACGCCTTACAACCCACGTGAGAAAATGTTTTCAAATTAAAAAAGCTTGATCCTCGGCAGTTTGCGATGCTTTTGTATGTCACTGGTAGGTTTGACAGAACCGCAGTCGCTACTATGGTACTATTAAAGCATAAGCCGATGGCAATGGGAACTTTTGCTACCCTTAGTAAGATGAACTCGCGGTAAGAAACAGACTGCTGTTGCATCAAAAGGCATTGGTGCGCAACAGCCAACGGAGAAAGGGCACATCAGAACCCATATCAGCAGAGCCCAACAATCCCATCATCACGCAAATATAGAAACCTTTCCTTCATCAAATCATCTTCAGAGGCCTCCCTGACGAACACCCATGATGAGCGAAACACCGAAGCATTTCGTCTTTCTGGCCTGCCCGCCAGGCACGAGGCTGGGCGGAAACTCTGCAGCAACACTCTTTGCGGAGGTCACACAGCCAGAACACTTGGAGACCTTCCTCTGTCACTGGATCAATCCGGCTCCATTTCAGCAACCCATAGAACCCCTGTCAACGACGTCGTTTCAAGACTGCCCGAAGTTGGTGATGCTCCTCAACCGTCAAGAGATCGGACGACTCACACAGTGGTGCCAGCGCTTCTTCACCCAGCCAGACCATCGATTGCTATACACTCCAAGGATCATCACCGAATTTTACGGTTTTACCAGGGATGTCGAATCCATGTACTTCGGCATATGCCAAATTAGACACAATCCGCAGCAAGGACTATACTGGTGGGCACCGCCAGCCTTGGGGCTTCCGTTCGCTGCTGGCATACGCTGGACCGAATCGACTTGCCGATTCTTCCGAACCCCATACAACCCGGCCCATAGGTCGGACATGATTGTGGCAGGTCTCCCAGATCCTAGGCTGGCCTCAAGTCTAGACCTGTCGTAGCCTTCGGGGTATATGACCTTGAATCCGTAATATATGGGTAACGTAGGCCTCCTTGGCGGCCAGTCTCAGGTCAGCCATTCAAACAGAATACCCAACTCATCAACGGCTGAATCATCAGGAGAAGAAGTGGAGATTGAAAGAGAAAAAGACTGCGTGTGACGTTTCGGGGCTTCATGGTCGTACCGAGCTCCGGTTCATGTCTCAGGCACCGTGTTCTTTGGCTAATGAAGAGAAACAGATATCTTGGACGGTCGGTCGGGAAGGAAGATATCTAGATCATCGCCGACTAATGCATAATATAATAGATCAGCAAAGTGCTGCTGAAATTTTAAGAACTGTACGCGTGGGTAAGCCGTTTTTTGTCAGGTAATGATCTCATGTCGCTGAGCTACCGCGGCCTATTCATTGAACGAAACGCAGCCAGAGATATGTTGACAGCCACTTGAATGGCATCTAATTGCAGCTGGTATCACCGCTGTTCTACTCAAGACACATGAAAAGATGCGAGAACGGCTTGCTTGAGCGTGTGTCTAAGGACATTGGTGTCACAAGGAGTGACCAACGACTAAATCGTTGATGTTATTTTTTTTATCAAAAGGAAGGATAGTTTTGTAAGCCCTAAGCCTCTACAAGTCTGTGACAAAGCAGGAGATTTTGTCAAAAGAAGGAGCACCTGAACTGTGCATTTTACTGAAAAAGCCTAGGAAAAGGTTGATGAAGGAGGAATGCTGGACGAGGAGGTCCGAGGTCACCGAAGTTACCCACCAGCCGCCGCTTACCTAAAGCAGATCGCTCCGTCAATACTCCGTAGATTACCTAATTTTTTCCTCAAGCTTCGAACCCCTACGGATACCGTCCAAGGAATTTTTTTTTTCTTCGCTACCTCTCTGCTCCCCCCGTCTCGTTTCCCAACCTCATTCCTCTTCTTCAACATGGCAGCAGTCCGAGATAGCTTTCTCGACCTCGAAAGGCATCGCTTGCAGTTGGAGGACAACATTGCCAAGCTGCAGAAGGCCTTGCTGCACTGGCAAAAATGGGATGCAGAGTATGAGTCCTTGAAAGAGGAGATAGAGTCTGTCCCCCAACCTGCCAGTCGAGAGGATCTTGCGCGCATTCGCAGAGACTTTGAGGGCGAGGTCGTTGACAAGAAGGAAATCAACGACCTTTTTGGCCGCATCGATCTCAAGCCAGCCGAGCAGATCGTCAACCTGTTGTCGCGCCGTATCGACTACGTGTCCAAGAACATCGAGACGCTCGAAAAACAACTCGAGTCCGCCAAACAGAAGCACGCTGCTGCCACGGTTGTCAGCAACCCAGATGTTCGGGACGAAGATGGTCTGCCTATAACGGAGATCATTGAGGAGCTTGACGAAGAGGGCAACGTCATCAACAGCCGCTTGCAGCGGCCGGGCGACTCCAGCGCCCAGCTTAAGGAGATCCTAGAAAAGGCAGGCGTCAAGGATCTTCCCGCTGGTGAGCCTCGAGAACCCGAGAAGGAGGCCGTTGTCGAAGATATCTCCGATGAGCCCACCGCTGAGGCGTCTGAAACATCTGTTGCCGCGACGACTGCGCCAGCTGAGCATGTTACGGCTGCAACAGCGGCGGAGCCCGAGAGCAAGGCGGATGACACTGTCGCCGTTAAGAAGTCCGTGTCTTTTGCCGAAGACACCAAGTCACCGACGGAGCCGCCGGTTTCGAGGGCTGCCCAGCGCGTAGAAGAAATCATGCGAACCGCCAAAGCTCAGGAAGAGTTCGGCCGTCAGCCGCCCGTTATACCCGAGGGTGAGTCCGAGGAAGATGCCTTTCTCCGTCGAGAAATGTTGAAGTACGGCATGGAAGAAGTCGGGGCAGTGGTGGCCGAACTCAACCTCGAGGAAGGTTCTGACGATGACGACGACTGGGAGTACGAGTACTCTGACCTTGACGACGACGACGACGAAGAGGACCAGTATGGACGGTCCAAAACTAGCGTGCTCGACGAGGGATACCATCAGCGCATGTTGGAGCTCGAGAAGCGGCTCGGAGTCAAGACTCGCTTCACCGAGAAGGTTAAGGCAGAGGCCGATGAGTCCGACGACGACACGCAAGGCATTGGCCGCATTGTTGTGAACCACGGCGACAAGGGGAAGGTGGTGGAGCCTGCCAAGCCATCACCTTCCCCCACATCTATCCTGCGCACCACGCCGACTGAGGCGGACGACAACAAAAAGAGTGTTCGATTTTCCCGGAGCCTGGATGTCGCCCCTGTTACCGAAGTCTCGGCAACTACAGCGGCACCGGCTGTAGCGCAGGCTGCACCCGAGCCGTTCGTGGAGCCTCTGAGCGACATTGTTGAGCGCTCTGGCCCTGCGAAGCAGAAAGGAGCGAAGTCCAACGGGAAGGTGTCTCGTTTCAAGAAGCAGAAGGCCACCCCGACTGTCATCGAGGACGGTCTCGTTCCCATGGGCCCGCGCGACGTGCCCTCGCGGTTCCTCGACCAGGACAGACCGACGGCCCCAACTGGTCCTGAAGGGAAGACACTGGCAGATGCGGTCATCGAGAAGGAGCCCAAGCCTCACGACCAAGACGCCTATGATGACGAGTTCATCGACCAGGACCTTGCTGACGAGTACCACCGTCAGCGACGCAACTTCATCCAGAAGCAAGGCGGCTTTCTGCAAGAAGACACGTCCGTGGTCCGGCCCCTTGACGAAGCTGACGGCGGTCAGCGGATCAGCAAGTTCAAGGCTGCTCGTCTCTCTAAGCAGTAACCGGGCCGGACCTAGAAAACACTACGTATGTGAAAGGCTTTTTTGTTTTCTTCCTTTCCTCTTCCCTTTCCCTCCCCCCCCTCCAACATGATGACCAAGACAATTTTTATACAGTTATCCCTATCTCAATCTCATTGTGTGGATATGGTTCTAATTTCTGATTTTGGACTCACTGCTCAATTCCTTTTGGCATTCTTGCCTAGAAGTCTGGCTAACTCATACTTCAGTTTTCTCCGACCACGGTCTCACCTCATGGGGTGGCGCGCCGTATCTGAAGTGGCAAATAGCCTTGACACGTCATGCACAGGTAAGATTTGCGCTTTTTCTTCGCACCCTCCCCCCCTCGGATGATGACCAAGACAATTTTTATACAGTTATCCCTATCTCAATCATTATGTGTGGATATGGTTCTAATTTCTGACCCCGTTGCCAACTGTACCCTCTTGTTTGCATTTTTAATCCAGGAGATGTCGTGGCTAACTTACTGTGGCAGTTTCTCTGGTAAAAGTGATTTCCCACATCAACCGAGTCCCCGCGCGGCGACCACACTGCCGCCTCCTCCTCGTCTTGATCTGTTCCCGCAACACGCCATTCATCTGGACGTGAAATGGTGGATAGAGCGGATAGAAAAACGGATTGATAGAGAAGACCTCATATTTGGGTCTCGTGCGGGCCAGCGATTCCTGTAGTCCATGGATCCTGGCGTATCTTGCTTTCTCAGACTTTTTTGCTATTGCTTTACTAATCTACACGCAGCCTCTTGGTGATGACGAGTGTGTGAGGTGTGAGAGCCGTATGCATGCATGGCTCTTCTTCTAAGCTTCGGCTACTACTTGCCGTTTCGGCAGTACGGACCGCTTCTTAATCTGACAATTGATGGGCTGCAGCTTTCCATCTGCTTCACCATTACTAGCGGATCCAAGAGCAATGGTTCCCCACGTGGGCTCTCTGACGCCTTTACCCTCAGCTTTTGCTCATCCCGTGGTTATGGCGATTCGTTTCACCCATGACATTTCTCTCCATTGCAGGCTAGATTAGATGATGCAAATCAATACAAAGACGACTTGATCGAGCTCCAACGCACACTCCCGTATATCGTGACTTGCATGTGTCTCAGTGGGTGGGAACAAAACGGACTCGCTTGGTATCTCTTGTGTGTTTATTTTTTCATCTTCCAAGTGGGACAAGCCATCTAGCTGATCTTGGCGTTGCTAAAGTCCATCTCGGGGTGCTCGGCCTGGAACTTCTTGAGTATGTCAAGCTTCTTCTGCTCGTCCGAGGTGGGCAGGCCCTGCTCCTTCTGGCGCTGGTCCCACATCATCTTCTCGACCATGCCGCGGGTCTCGCCGTCGAGGTCCGACAGCTTGCTCGTGTCGGGCGTGATCTTGGAGACGTCGATCTTGGGCGCTGTGGTCACGACGTGCGCCCACCACTCCATCTTGTTGACCTTATCGAGGTGGATCTCGACCGTCTTGGTGCCATCCGGGGCCGAGGTCAGGGTCCAGGTCGAGTCGTCGACGGTGATGGGGTGGGAGAGGTCGCCCTGCGTCTTGGGTCAGTCTCACGTACGCGCGCCTAATGTTGCGGATTCGTAGTGTGGGTAAAATGAAGAGAAACGCTCCTTTGAGAAGGAAAAAAAAACACCTGGCGGTTGGGCCGAGGAGTAGAACTGATGGGGAGATGGGGGAGGTCAACTGACACTGATGATGGGCTCCTGCCCCTTGACGCCGGCCGAGATCTTGGTCTTCTTCAGGTCGATGACGAGGTCTCTGCTCTTGTAGTTTCCGGGGACGCTGAAGGTGATGTCGACGTCGCCGATGGTCTGCTGCCACTTGTACGGGAGCGCGTTCTGCTCCTCCTCCTCCTTGGCGCGGGCGGCGGCCTGCTCGGCGGGGGTGGGTTCTGATCTCGAGAGCCCACGGTTAGCGTCAACTCCAAAGAATCTACACGTCCCGTCTGCGCTTCCGCTCTTTGGAAGCGGCCTAAGGGAATGGGCCACGTACCGGGTTTGTCGTTGTCAACCATGGTTTCTCGTTGTTTTGCTGAGACGTTGGGGGTTTGTAAGGTCGAAAGCTGTGGAAACAGCAAGGAGCAGAAAGGCTGATGGAATCTTTTGGAGGGGTAGCTGCGAAGACCCCTGGTCCCATACCCCTGCACCCGGCTCGACAGCTCCAGCCAATCACCCCCGCTTAATAAAACCCACCGTCAGCCTTGCACGTCTACACCAAAGAATCTCGGGGGGCGCGATATCTCTCAGAATACAATCAACCCTCTCCAACGCAAGCAAGAAGGAGCTCTGCTTCTCGACACCTGTCGGAAGGAGCAACCCATCGTACAGGACATCGTATTCTCTTCCAATGCCGCCCTGATCAATCTTCACCACCCTCCTCCAATCATTCTCGAAACTCCCGTCCCGCCTTTCCACCGCGACACGACGAGCAAACGCTGCTGCTGCCGCCGCCATCATGGCGACCCGCCGCGCCTCCAACACCGCCGCCGTGGCGCCTAATTCGACAAACGATATCTGCCCGGTCTGCAAGACCATGCGCTACCTTAACAAGGACCTCGAGTTCCTCATCAATCCCGAGTGCTACCACCCCATGTGCGCCAACTGTGTCGCCCGCATCTTCTCCGACGGGCCCAATCAGTGCCCCTACGCCGGCTGCCACCGGACACTTCGCAAAAAGGGCTTCAAGTCGGCCTACTTTGGCGACCTCACCGTCGAGCGCGAGGTCGACATCCGCCGGCGCGTCGCCGCCGTCCTCAATAAGGTCGAGGACGACTTCGAGACCCTGGAGGACTACAACGGCTACCTCGAATGGGTCGAGACCCTCACCTTCGACCTCATCTCCGGCACCGACGCCGAGAAGAAGGCCGCCGAGGCCCGCCTCATCGAGTGGGAGCAGGCGCACAAGGCCGAGATCGAGCGCAACAGGCGGCTGGCCAAGGAGTCCGAGGCTGAGCGCGTTGCGCGCTTCGAGGCCGAGAAGGAGGAGGCCCGGTTGCGGCGCATGCAGGCCATGCAGGAGGACGCCGCCGAGAAGCAGCAGGGCCAGCGCATGCGCGAGGCCATGCTCGACGGCCTGGCGAGCAGCGACGCCGGGGAGGCCAAGCAGACGCTGAACCGCGTCCTGCTCAAGAAGCGCGGCCAGAACCGTCTCGCCTCCGCCGTCGGGTCTCTGTCCGACGCCACAACGGCCCCGGGCCTGTCGATCCGCGGCCTCAAGCAGCAGAAGAAGCGCGTCATCGAGGAGAACAGGCCGTACGACCCATTTGGCGGCCTCAAGCTCGATATGGAGAGGTACGCGATGGGACCGCCGGAGGAGTATCGCAATCACTGGATCGACGAGGCGAGGAAAAAGGACGACATCGTCGTCGGGGGATACAGCGCCGACGAGTACCTCGGCCGCGCCATGTTCGAAGCCTTTTCCGGATTGGCCGTCTTCATCGAGGATGAGAAGGGCCCTGAGAAGGTGGCCACCACCGAGGCCGCGCAAGTGGCCTCCACGGGTCAGACCACCCAGAGGATGGACGTGGACGACGTCTTTTAGTTGTTCAACTGCCGCCTCACCGTTTGAGCTTTGGGGTGGGGGGGAGTAGAGACAAATCATGGGTTGCATAGCGAAGGCGTTCGGGGTTATCTGGGCAACGGGATATGATGGGAATTAACTTCAAGACAACGACTAGAAAAGGCTACTGCCCTTATCCTGGAACCCTGCAAGTCACCAGGAATGGTTGCGCAGGGTGGTGAACGAGGGTCCCACTATGCAAGAAGTTACATCTTGAATATGCTCACTAGATAATACATTTTTTTCTTTTCTTTTCTTTTCTTTTCAAACTCTTGCTTTGATGGTTGCCGGCCTAGACCAGTCCCACAACCGGGTCGTGGGGCCATTTTCTTGTCTTGGTGACAAGCCCTCGCCGTCTACTACGTATATTTCAAGTGTACAAGCAAAACCCTGGTAAACGCCACGCTTTGATTCGAAATATTGAGATAGGCTGCCTTAATGGACAAGTGTAGTGCATTCGGAGCGGACGGCCAATTAGTTGGGGGCCTATTCTATTACGTCTGCCACGGGCTCTGCTGCATGGGCCGCGGGAAGACAGGTACCGTCTCGAGATTATCCAGACCGCCACCAATGGGCTGCTGATTATTCTGCCGACCCATACCGGTCTGGTGATTAACGAAAGCGCCCTGACGGAAAGGATTCGTGGTTCCTGTTGGCTGCGGGGCAAGGGCTCCGGAACTGGTAGCGGGCCGTTGCTGCTGTAGCTGAGATGCCGTGAGGCTTTTCGCAAAAGGATTAGTACCCGTCATCATAGGTTGCAGTGGAGCCATTGGGGGAAGCTGCAGCGGCTGCTGCTGTTGCTGAGGCTGTGACTGGAAGGGCGAGTCGTTAGGGGCGGGAGCGAAAGGCTGCTGCGCCTGCGGTGATGATCGGGCAAAGGGGTTCGTCGACTGCCTCTGGGTGTTGGGACTCATCGGGTTGGAAAAAGCGATATTAGTGGACATGCCCGTCTGCTGGGCCATCAGCATGGATGCCCTGAAGGGGTTGGTGTTTTGCTGCCCGGCCTGAGGACTCAGCATGCTCGTGTTGCCCGTCGGGAAGCTTGCTACCGAGTCTTGAGGTATTGAGCCAAGCGTGCCTGGCTGGAAGCTTGGCTGAGGCGTGAAGCCGCCGAACCCAGCTCCGGTAAAGCTGGGTTGCAACGGCTGCGGCGCTTGTTGTTGTTGTTGCTGCTGCTGCTGCTGCTGCTGCTGCAGTTGTTGCAGCTGACCGAATGGATTTGTGCTCTGCGGCTGGTACGGGTTACCACCAAAGCCCGTTTGTTGCGGTACAAAGCCGGTCTGCTGTGGTGCAAAGCCGTTCTGCTGGAAACCCGTCGGTTGCGGCTGAAACGGGCTGTTGGATGCGAACCCGGTCTGCATGGGCATTTGCTGCTGCTGCTGCTGCTGCTGCTGCTGCTCCTGGTGTTGCTGGGTGTTGGAAGCCATCGTCGTTTGGTTCTGTTCAATGGACTCGAAGAAGTCAATTAAATCCGGCGCAGGACCCTTGGCGGTCTCTGATTTCGGTTGCACAGACCCGTTGGTGCTCGGGAAAGGGTTGTTGGCTGCGGGCGCCGGCTTCGAGTCGAAGGCACTGCTTGACGGTTTCGAGATGCCTCCTTTCCCGCTCTTCTTGGCCTGTTGCTCGGCGATGTACTGTCTCCGGTTGATTTCGAAGTCCGGGTCTTGCAAATACTCCTCCAGTTGTCGACCCAAGTTCACCGGCGCATGCTTCAACTTGGGGACCTCGACTCTTGTTTGATGCTCATACTGTCGCGCGACACCGAGGTACTGCACGACAAAGTCTGTCTGCTTTGTGAAGTTGCGGTAGACTGACATGGCTCTCTCGGCGTCGACCTTCGACATTTCGAAAAAGGTGCCTATTGGTGTCAGTCATTGTCACAAGTGAAGCGGCCTCGTCAACCTACCAAGAATGTTGATCATTCCCTGGTTTAGAGCCTGGAAGAGAGCCAAGAGGTCCAGCACAAGCAGCCTGAAGACAGTAACCGTGATTTCATTCTCGATTTCGCCCTCGAGGACCTAGCAAGGGTCAGCAGCCGTCGCACTCAGCGGCAGCGGATCCCAAACTCACATCGCACTTCAACAGTGCTGTAATCTGAGTCTGGAGGATTTCGGTTTCTCGGAGGAGGCCCTTGTCCACTGAGAGCTTCTCCAACCTCGATTCCTTGGTCCGGACCCAGTCGCACTTCGTTTCACGGTATGCCTTGGCTCTCGCGCCGAGGTAGTTGGCATAATGCCGGATGTTCCGACCTTGCGTCTGGGCTGCAATACCACGTCAGCATCAGAGTGTATGAGGGAGACTGCATAGCGGGTGAGGAGAAGGCCAGAGCTCACCATCTGTAAAGCTGCTGATGGCAAGCGTATTCGGGTGCCTTGCCAAAAAGGAGAGCGTGACATCGGGAGAGCCTTCACGGATCATCAGGTGGACGGTAATCAAGCTCTTGAAGACGACGGTCCATGTCGAGTCTCGGAGGCGGAATTGCAGGGCGCGGAAGACCTCGGCGACGCCAGCTTCGCCGGCGTGTGTCGCGACGAGGATATGTTCGATGTACTTGGTCTTGGGGGGCGCGGCCTTGGATATGCAAAGTCAGCAACACGGCGGGGAGAGTGATACGGGGGCGCTGGCTGAACCAGAGCCCTCCATTCAACCGACCTTTATCTTGGTGGCCCCCTTGACCGATTTCTCAAATGAGCTCGACATGTTGGCGGATATTGGGGGCGGTCTGAGAAGGTGAGGATCTCGTGGCAGTCGGTGAGCCTGGCGACAGAAGAAAAGCTAGTTGTCGTTGGCGGATCGGACGAAAGCCGCACTGAAGCGGTCGCAGAAACTGGCCGTGCCGTCACGGGCCTCGATGGAGTATCGCGATCAATGTGAGTTGAGTTGGAGCAAGACGAGGTGGCGACGTAGGTAAGGTGCGATTCGAGTCGTGGGCGACAGGCGAGGTGGAGATGTATCGGTGACGGGGGCGCGACGGAGGTTGCAGGCCAGGGAAACCCTCAACTGGGCGAAATTGGGCCCCGAGGATCTTCAATGCTTCAATGCAGGAGGGATGGCTCGGTTCCGGAGTTGGGGCCTGTGGCCATGACAAGGCGGCGGGTCGGTCGCAATGATTGATTTCGATTAAAGATACGGATTGGGATGTCGTTTTCGCGATGTAGGCCTGACTTGCTTCGTTGGGTGGGCGGGAAATGAAGGACGGACGGGCAGGTAGACGGACAGCGTCAGCGTCAGCGTCGACGTTGGCCAGGCTGGTTGGGTGGAGGTGGGTGTGGGCGGGCCACAGTCTTGATTTGGAGAGGTCGACTGGTCGGGCTTGGGCTGGGCTGAGCTGAGCTGAGCCTACGTAAGGCGACCCTGTTGCTAGGTAAGGAAGATAGATAGTTATGCTTTGGTTGATGGACGGGACGGTGGTGGTACCGTGGTAGTAGTGTAGGTATGTAGGTGAATGGGTGCGGACCAAGGTGTGCTTTCTGGTGTGATGTGTGTTTGTGTGTGGGCGTGTGTCCTGACTCTCCTTCTCTCTCTCTGTCTCTCTTCTCTCTGTCCGTCTGTCTGTCTCGCTATGTCCTTCTCGGTTTCTCTGATGTGTTGGCTTTGTAAACAAGCCCGAGGCGCCGTGCATTCAACCAACGGGAAACAGGCAATCGGCGAAAATGAATGTACCAGGTACAGGTACGTACTCCCCGGTTAGGCCGGCCGTAGCCCGATGTGATAGGTAGGGAACCCTGCGTTGACGGGCTCGCTCGCAGTGTCGTCTTGACAAGCTGGGAATCCGGTACACCGTCACTGTAACAGCGATCCCATGAGAAAAAAAAGGTGGTCCCGGCGTCTGTGCATTTGCGCCGGCCGGTAAGAGAGAGAACATCTGCGACAAAACCAAAAGTCGACTGCTGAAGACATTCTCCAACATAGGTAGTAAGCAGTATTCGTACATAGTTGTACTACGTAGTAAAGGGCGATGCTCGTTCGAATCTAGCGCCCGTTTCTGCGAGCGAGGTGGGCCGCGCGACGTGACTCCCCCCTCCAACCACTTGAGTTGAGGCTCGTGTCTGTCACTAAAGTCATAAGCACAGGCACAGTCACAGGCACAGATGCAGCCGCGAAGTGCATGTCTCTAATGAATGTTGAATGACCCACTATGTTATGCGGATACGGAGCACTGAGACAATGTTATCACTAGGTATAGTCCAGGTACACGGATGGACCATCCCACACGGCATGACACGGGCGAACATTGGCAGCTCCGGCAAGCTGGGGTCTTCCAAGGACCTGACGAGGTGTCTGTGTGTGGGGAGGGCCGGGAGAGGCACCATTGATCGTCTGCCGTTGCTGTTCCGTTTCTGCCTCTGAGCACACTCAGTGACCGTTCATCATTCGTGCCTGGCCGTTCGGAGAAAGCCTCTCTCATCCGAAAGAAAAATAAGAGCATCAATCGCCCAACCAAACTACCGAATTTACACTGTTATCATGTTGGCCGTTGTTCATCCAATGCCTGCAGGCCCTACGTCCTCATGTTCAACAGTGTGAGGGACTTTCCAACAGAAAACCGTGACATTGAAACAGTTTGGGGAGACATGGAGTTTGCTGAATCGCTGAATCATCCCCATTCACATGTAGCGACATCGCAATCACACGGCATTTGGAGCACGGACCTTGTCGTTTGCTCTCATCATCGGTCTTAGTGATACTTCTTTTAGTCTAGGAATAGACACTGGCAGCCCGCTCAGGGCGCCATCCTCATCCATGTGCATGCACCGACGAGACTAAACACTCTACTGTACACGTATGTTTTCAGGATCTGTGGCCATCTCTTACCGGGTGCCTCAGTCTCGGATAGCTTCTCCATTCATTGTCTGCCACGCACCTCCAACAGCTGGGAAAGAATTGTCAACCATCCCAATTGTGTGACTGTAACCCACCGCCTTCTCTGGGCAGTGCTGCGTCAGGGAAGAACGTATCAACGTATCCCACCGAAGCTGCGCCATCATGCAAGGTGACATTCACGAAACTCTCTGCACCACTTGGTGCCCAATGGCCGCGACAGACGTCTTGTCGTAGAGAAATCCCCCAGAGCCCACATAAAAATCTTCCATTTCATGAAAAATCAGAGTTGCCTTTCATCGCGTCCGATGCTGTAACAAGGTCGTGTCGAACGCCTATTTCATGGCCCCCTCCGCCCTTGGCGTCTTTGCCCTGAAGCCGCCCGAAGGGGAGAGCTCGGATGCCTCAGACGGAGGTGGCTGCATCATATTATCCACGTGGCTATCATCACCTGGAAACCGTTCTGTTAGCTTCTCATCTTCGCACTGATTGCCGTAGGAAGGTGGTGTGGTGAGGGGAGACCAAACGTACACTTTTTTGAAATGGAAGAATCATAAAGAGAAAAGAAGAGAAAATTTTCAAGAGCTCGCTCGCGGCAAAGAGTTTTATATCGAACATCTGCCCCGCGCTAATCACTTGTTTTGGTGGGGACCTGCCTGCTGCCTCAGGTGCAGCCTGCAGGCACCAACTAACGGTGCCATTCTACCGATCTAGTGTAGGTAGCTGAAGCGCCACCGTACAGCGGCAATCCACCTCTGCCCCATTGGCTCCAAAAAAGCATTACAGGGTCTTGTTCCGGTAGTGGGCTGAGCTGCGATAGCTTCAATGTCACAAATTCGCACCTAATCTTGATTCAACCATAACGGCTTTGATCCTCACCATTTGGAGCCATTGAAGCTGTAGAGGCGGTCGCCATACATTCTAAGCTTCAACAGAAACTCTTGCGTCTTTGATTGCCCTATCCCCATCTCTGTCCCACCCTCCAGATGCTTCGCCAATGTTGTCGCGGTAGAGCTTTGGCTGCCCTGCAACCCCGGGTACCGCAGTCGCAACCCCTCGTCCGATGCACCTCTCTCCCACAGAAACCGTCATGCAGCGCGTTATTTTCTCGGAGCCCACGGGCGCGCTGTCTTTCAACAACACAAACGAGGAATGTCCAAGACGAGTCGAGGCATACACAGTTGTCCGGGGAATTCAAGGAGTGCTGTGAGCAAGTCCAAGGATGGCAGGCTAGTTAAGAAGCGTCTTGCTGACTCTCTCTCACTCTCTCAAACAGTCGCCTTCCCTCAGATGTCCTCCCCAGAAACTTGGACCAACCCAGGTAGCGAAATTGTTGTCAGCGGACACATCGGTCGAACAAGAAAGGTCGGCAAGAACCTAGCCTTCGCCCACTTGGAGCGCAACGGAGAACGAATCGGGCAGATCTGTGCCAAAGGCGAGAATGCGGCTGTTCTGGCCAAGATACGTCCCTTCAGCGCCGTCTTGGCCAAGGGTGTTGTGACGGAGGCCTCAGGTGCCGCACGCTTCGAGATGGACATGGAGTCGATACAATACCTAAACCCATTTCCCAAGGACATCATCATCGGCCCCGATACCGTCTTCCCCCCCGAACAGCGTCACTTGCAGTTGCGATTCCACGAGCAACTGAGGGAGAGACTCCGCTTCCGTGCCCAGCTCAAGTCCACTATGGGACAGGCGATGGTGGATCGGGAGTTCATGGACGTCGAGACGCCAATTCTGTTCAAGTCCACTTCGGAGGGCGCGAGAGAGTTTATTGTTCCCACGAGGCGCCCGCGATACGCCTACGCCCTGCCCCAGAGCCCCCAGCAATATAAGCAGGTCCTGATGGCCTCTGGCATGGGAGGCTACTACCAGTTCGCGCGCTGCTTCCGCGACGAGGACCATCGCGCGGACCGTCAGCCCGAGTTTACTCAGGTATGCGTCTAGTACATCATCCGAATACCAATCCCATTGCTAACCCCGTCGTCCATTCAGCTGGATATGGAAAAGTCGTTCGCAACGGGTGTGACCATCATGGAGGACGTTGAGTACGTCGTGGGTCGTGCGTGGGACACATTGAGAGAAATATACGTCATGGAAGTGGGCAAAGACTCGTTCGCGCCAGTCAGGAAAGCATCATTGCAGGTCCGTATCTTCGATTGTTCCGTGACTTCTGACGCCGAATCTGACTACAGGCAGAACTGGGAGCAAAGCATCCAAGACAGCGCCAAGGACGACGCCAAAGCGCCCATCTACCAAGAGTACCCCGCCATCTCTACGCCCTTCCTGAGGATGAAGTATACCGACTGCATGGATCTCTACGGATCCGACAAACCGGACCTGCGCATCCCAAACAGAGTCAGTCCCATTCGATAGCAGATGTAATATCGTCTACTAACATTATTTAGATTTGCCGGGTTGACGAGCACCTCAACAAGAACTTTGTCAGCATGATCACGGACCTCGAGTCACCGATTGTCGAAGTCTGGAAAATCAGCCCACACGAAGACGTCGATAGACGAGACGTGTGGAAGTTTGTGATCGACTTCATGGAGTCCCTCCCCAAGGGCCTGTCCCAGAACCCGGACGGCGCACCCACAGCCTTGGTGTTTGACAGCAGCAAGCCGCTCAACGGCTTCTCGGCATTGGGGCCGGAAGGGTTGGACAGCATTCTCGGCGCTCTGCCAGAGGACTCGGGCTTCTCGGAGCTGAACAACGGCGACATCATCTTGTTTCAGGCGCGCAAGGACCAGCCCCAGCAAGGTGGTTCGACCAAGCTCGGCGAGACGAGAATCGCGCTGTACCACGCCGCTGTGGAGGCCGGTCTCCTGGACAGGGACGACAGCTTCAAGTTCCTCTGGGTCACCGACTTCCCCATGTTCACCCCGGAAGAGGAGGGCGACGTCGGGCAGGGCGGGGCCTCGGGCTTCTCGGCGACCCACCACCCCTTCACGGCCCCACACTCGGAGGAGGACTTTGAGCTCCTCTTCAAGGACCCGCTAAGGGCCAAGGCCGACCACTACGACCTCGTCCTCAACGGCGTCGAGCTCGGCGGCGGCAGCCGACGTATCCACATCGCCGAGATTCAGGAGTTCATCTTCCGCGACATCCTGAAGATGAGCCAGGACAAGATCAAGGAGTTCTCCCACCTGCTCAAAGCGCTGCGTGCCGGGTGCCCGCCGCACGCCGGTTTCGCCATCGGCTTCGACCGCTTCGTCGCCGTCTTGAGCGGCTCGTCGTCCGTCAGGGACGTCATTGCCTTCCCCAAGAACAACAACGGCGTCGACGAGTTCGCCGGGGGCCCGGGGAAGATGACCAAAGAGCAGCTCGAGACATATAACCTCCAGTTCCGCAAGAAGGAATGAGGCGCCTGGATGGCCCACTCCCCTCCATCGTCCGCTGTAACAAATTGTCACATATCTGTAATATAATGTACACTACACTCATGCATCGTTACGGCGCGGGTATAGAGAGATAGATGACAAGAGGCAACGGCATGTTTTGTCTGTTATTCTCTGGGTCTAATTCACGACGGCATAAGTTTACTTGTCTTGTCCCCAGTATTCCAACACAAAGCAATGAAACATCACCAGTAGCCGCATAACGTGCTTGAGCAAATCAAAGTAGGTATTATCATTCTCAGGGGTTTCATTCCATTCCGAGTCCTTGTTCCATTAACGCTCCTAATAATACAAGTAAATAACCTTGCAATCCCAGTCATTCCTCATTCACCATGCTCATTTCGCCGCCGTTCAAGACCTCTTCCACTGGCCGGCGTCCTCAGCACCCTTGCCGACCTGGTTGAGGGCGCCGCCGAGCCCCTGGCCGAGGTTGGTGATGCCGTCGCCGATGGGGCGGCCGGCCGAGCCGGTGGCGCTCGTGATGGTGTCGCCGAGACCGGTGGTCGCGGCGCTGGTGACGTTGCCGACCGTCTTGGTCAGGCCGCCGACGGTGTTGCCGAGGGCCGAGGTGACGAACTTGGCGCCGCCGGTGACGCCGGTGTTCTGGTCGTTGTTTCCGATAGGCATGGTGGTCTTTTGGATGGGTTGTTTGGTTGTGTTGGGGGAGGAAAGGGTTGCTTTTTTTGTTTTCAGTGATTGAGGTTTGGATGAAGCGTAGGATTTCTTTTGGTATCTTAAGATATCGGGGGGAGAAACGTGTAGGTTGATGTCGACCAGTGCCCTCTTATGGATGATGAAGGTAGGCAACGTCAAGGTGAGCTCGAGGCGAGGTGACGTCAGAGGTCGATAAAGCGGGAAGGTGGATCCCCGTCCAGCAGAACGCACCTGTGGCTTGATCGCACCTATCAACGCCTCAACCTCGCACCTCTGCCTCGTCAGGTTTTGACATCACATCACTTGTCTCATCTCAGAAGGTGGAGGGGAAGAGGAGGGGAAGAGGAGGGGGAAGGGGTGTTCTTCCGGTTCTGACGACATTGCAGCCTGAGCACGAAAGTTTGGCCGAGACCTTCCCACATCGCCCGTGAGCCACACAACCTTTGTTCGTCTACGCTTTCGGTGCTTGCTCCAGGGAACATGGGTTGGGGTTGAAAAAGCTCACTACCTACACCGGCCTGGAGACTTTTTTCCTCGCATGACGGAAGGGGGTAGGTATCATGTTGCAGTGTCAAAAAGAAAAGAGGAGATCAAGGCGTCCAGTACGTCGCATGCCGCCCCGTCATCGTGCCGGTCTCATTGGTCTTTTCGTCTGATGCGGCTTTACCCCGACCGGTTCTAGCCCTTTGAGGCTTTCGTCTCTTTGCTTACAGTTCGTGACTTCGCTCATTCTTCCAATGGTGTATCGCCAAGTCGCACGGATACGCCTCATGTTGTTCCGTTTCCTAACAGAACTGTACAACTTCATAGTAAAGTCCACTCCATCCCTGTTTTCGCGCCCACGATGGAATCATGCTTCTGGCAGAACCGAGACAACGCGCAAACTGTCTTGGTATTTCCGATGGTTCAAGGTAGTTTACGTAACGTCGATGAATGATTAAGTTCCCTGGCAAGCTGTAATGTCTTCCAGCCAGAAGACTTTAGCTCAAGGAATCCATCTCTTCCCTCGTCAGCTTCTCACTTCTTTGATAACGTTGGCGAGGTCACAAACTGTCTTGCACTGATGTGTACTTTCTTTTTTTTACTTGCATCTAGGCTCCTTAGCTCAAGGAAAAAGAAGAAGATGAAGATGAAGAAGAATAAGAAGAGGAGGAAGTCCAGTAGGTCTCGGCGATGAGGCTGCACTCCTCACTCCAGTTTCTAGCGGTATGTCTTGTGTTGTATGCATGCATCAACTTTATTGCACGGGAACGTTGACAGATCGTTAGCCAACTTACAGGTCAGGAACCGCTGCTATCTGCCGAGACGATGTTTGAACAAGAGCAACTGGATATTTACGATGCTCGTTGACCACCTATTGATTGAAACAACCAGTGTCAACACTACTAGATGCCTCACTTGGAAGTGGGATCACTCTTGCCGTTCTTTGTAATATGCGCTCCTGATGCTTTGCAGAGTCGGCCCACTCCTCCTTTTTATGTAATCTAGAGGCTCTGGTAGTTGACTCATTCGTACGTTCTCAATATGGCGAGAGGTCATATTACAACATTATTGTCGCTGTAAGGAATGAGTGGTTCTGAAGCAAGAAGAATCTCGCCATCGAAAGACTTCGATATGACATGGGTCGCTGGCTACAATTGTCTGAAAGTTCACCTTCACTTTCTAGTCTATGCCTGCCAGTGCCATATTCCTAGGTTCAGCCGTGTTTGTCCTATTGTTGCCGCCGTACTCCCATGCCCAACTGACCTGGACCTTCGAAATCTCTGTACGCCCACCAATTCGCGACGATGTGTCAACCTTTTTTTTTTTTTTTCTCTCCCGCGACATCAAAAGTTTTGAAGATTCCAAGCTCATCCGTACTCGCAAGTCCTTTGGTAGTATGCCGCAAGCCCATCGAACTTGGGGAAGAAGTTCAGCTGCATTCCTTGAAAGACAGCCATCCGACCATAGCAATTAGTGTCCGTTTGGCTTGACGGACCGTCAAAACCCACTGGCTCTCAAGTATGATACTCTTACTCTTGCCCTAAGTAGCTGTAACAATGGCAACAATAATGGGCTACCTAGCAGGCCTAACCATGAGCCCCGGGGAAAACAACAAGACAAAGGAAACAATGTGCGAGCCTCGGCATGGCTGCCTTTGGCGTGGGAGGGCTGGGTGTCAACCAGGCTATTTTGATCGAGGGCGCTTGGCGTACAACTACCGGTGACACGACCTGCCACAACACAACGCCGTTCCACGGCCAACGCGGGTCCCGGTTGGTTCAAGCCTCGCCTTGCCTCGGACGACGGCTCTCCGCAGGGCCGCTGTTTGCCTTGGCCCCCAAGAGCCGGTAGACCCGCGACTGCTTCGCTGCTCGGGAGGATGGCAGCTAGGCTCGCGCCGTCTGTACATCATGCCGCTCCATTCCTAGAAGTACTGGCGTGTAGAGGGTCAATGGGCCAGCCGAATTGGCAGTTACAAGTCGACCACTCAGTTTAAACAGATTCTGGGAGGTGAGTTGTACGTTGCGCGCGCAACTGTCTCTCGAATCTCGTCGCCCATCGTCCAAGCCTCTCTTGTCTCTCGTTGTCTCGTCCCTCGTCCAAACAACGTCTTTCCCGTTAACGAAGCCAAAACGCAAGATGCGTCCTGTCTCCATCGCACCCCTCTTGGCACCGGCGACCGCCCTTCCAATCGCCCCGGGCCAGGTCAACGTTCCCCCCGAATTCAACTCTAAGATCGGCTCGCCAAGTCCTGTGATCGACTGCGTGGGCATTGCCGTCTGCAACACGATCACGGTGGACAACGGGAACCAAAGCCCAGGTTCGTTAAGCCAGCCGAAACAGACGCCGCTGCAGCAGCAGCAGCAGCAGCAGACGGGATCCGGCGGAGTAGGCGGCTCACTGCGCCGATTCTCAGCCCCAGCCTTACTCTTCCAGGGCTGTTGGATTGTGTCGGCATTGCGGCTTGTAACCCGGTTACTGTGAACAAGGGAGAGGCAGCTTCAAAATATGGAGAGTGAGGAAGAAGGAATCTGAACTTCATGGCATCCTGGGATACTTCATCGTTGATCAATAGCATTTTGTTTCCTGTTGCACAGCAGAATCGAAAACTTGCTTGACTCTGGAACCAGTTTTGTCCTTACTTTGGCGATGGAAATAAGACCTAAACCCCGGCCTCGATTCTGGGAGAGAAAATTCCCAGCTCCAAAGAAACAATGGATTGCAATGCCACCAATTTGCGTCAAATCCTGACCTTGCTGACCAGCTGGGAAATTTGGCGCTTGAGTAGTCGTGTCGGTCCCATGCGGTACCCGGACGACTTGGTAAGCGTACTGCAGATGTCTCCTCAAACATTTCTCTCGAAAGTTATAGCTTTTTGGACGAGCCGTTGGCTGTTCTAGAAAAGAGTAAAAGGGTATATAATGGCCCTTGTGGTCAGGTTCGTCAACCAACTATCACTGGATGCACACATCCACCAATTCCCCGATAGTCTAGTGGTGAGGATATCTGCTTGTCAATTGCACGATTCGCAGGGGACCGGGGTTCAATTCCCCGTCGAGGAGTTTCCATCAGTCATCCAATGGCTGAAAAGTTCTTTTTGCTGTCTTCCTGAGGTTGTGGGCGAGCTGCGGAGTCTCACCTGTGCCCTAGCCTAGATCTCCGCCTGGGTGGCGGACGATGGAGACGAGTGGGGTCGGTACAAGCCGGCCGGGTCCGGGAGGAACAAACCGGCAGCAGTGGGCTTTAGAAAATCTCAGGAACTTTTAGGGAGTAGGAGAAGGCAAAGTGGTCATTATTGCACTTTGTTTTTCGTGGTTCATGTTTGGGCAGCTCGATTGGGAGAACCCAAGATAACCCCCCATAACAACTAATGTACCCTGTAAATTTCATCTTCTCTTGGGCTGGCCTGCCCAGCAAGAATCCGCTTGATGATTGCTTACATTCGAACCAAGAGCAATACTTTGAGAAACCTGAGTGGAATTTGCGCTAAATATCAGAGTGGGCTTCTCAGTAAACCGACTCTTTGACGGAAGATGGCCAAACAAGGCCCTAATGAAGGCTGCCCATTTCCTGACTTGGTCTTTGCATGTGACAAGCCTCGAGATTGCAAACATCACCCTGTTGTTATTGATGGTCTTACCGGTTGTTTTGCAAATCTGGTTTCGGCTGAGTTGCTGATGTTGCAGAGTTATAGACGTCCACACTCAACGCGTTTCCAGTTCATACTCGGTTCTTCGTCATCACCGCTCGATATTCCTACTATTGGCCACTCTTCCCCACAAACCTGATGACACCCGCGGCAAAATAAGAACATCCAAGCAAAGCACGATTGGCGAATGTTGTTGAAACCTCGCTATCAGGAGTATCATAAAATTGTGTTTTCTCTGTTCTCACACCCATTGGGCCGAATCGACATCCGCGCTCAAGAATCATGAGATGGCTGTCACCTTCAATGTGGCCTCAGCACAAGCCGCCACATCTTCCAGACCTCGGGATCGGGCGTGTCAGAGTCCCGCTGGAACTTGCACATGCTCAGCAGGCAGCACAGAAGGATCTTCATCTCCGTCTCGGCGAACTTGCGCCCGACGCACCCGCGCAGGCCCTGTAGGAAGGTCATGAAAGCGTTGGGGTTCGCCGTCGCCAGCAGGTCGTCCCAGCGGTCCGGGTCGAGCTCGTCCGCGCGGTCGCCACAGTACATGGACAGCCTGTTGATGGCGTTGGCGAGGACGTAGATAACGGTGCCCGCAGGGATCTTGTACCCGCCCAGAACGGCTTGATGGACTTGAGCTTTATACGTTCAAGGTTGTAAGCCTATACAAGAGTCAGCATGGAATGATTACTGGTGGATTCCGATTTACAAAGGGAAGATGCATCATTACGTCGGTTGCCGACCCTTCACTGAGCCTCAAAAGCAAGTACAATATCGGCGGTCTGGTTCAGGAGATCGATAACGCCGAGTCAGGGGTGTAGATCTCTGCGTTAGATCTGCACGCCAAGAAGGAGGAGAGACATCCCGCCGATGATTTCCATCGCCATGTCCTCGCTAGAAGCGTTTCGCAGATCGCGTCGTCGGAAATGAGATGGCAGCCGTTGTGATACATTGAGAATATGGATGATAGCAGGCCATGGCACCAAACCCGTTAGCCCTATCCCACCCAAGGCGCCGTCTCTAGGCGCATCGCGATGCATGGGTCGACCTCGGAAACATCAATCCCGCGGAAGACAGCGTCTGAAGCTCTGGCATTGAACATCTTCACAATGCCCAGCCTTTCCTCTGATATGACAGGTTTGAATCACCATCGGTGACATTCATCGCGAATGATCTGGTGGCTAGCGGGTGAGACGGTCTATTCTGGCTTGTAAAAAAGGTGAATTTTGGCACAGCTGGTAGGGCTAGGAGGAACTATCGCATAAAGAGGCACGGCACGCGGCTCCCGAGACTGATTGTTGTTAGCACAGTCTTGCCCTGACAAACGAGGTTATTTCCAAGTGCAATAGTATGGGAGGAACCGGCAGCCGGTGATTCCGAATGATTACATACCAGATGTTGCGGGAAGAAGGAGGTAAGACCTTCACCCACGTAGAGAGATGTCTGTGAGAGGTTAGTCCGTAAGTAAACGCCCTGGTAGCCGCCGGTTACCCACCTACGTCTTCAGTATGCGAAGACAATAATGGTAGGAGATCCCAGGCTCGAGCCACGCCTCCCATCCAGAGACGTCCGTTCATGTGCGATTTCCAAATGAAGCGATAGAAACGACAGCCGTCGGAAAAGCCGCAAGACCGGACTGTTTGCTACGACGGTCCACAGGCAGAGTTGCGACTCCCGCTTGGCCGCCCTAAGGAACGGCCGGAGATGTGAGAGGTTCCGTCATTGGGGGACGTTGTAAGCAATTGAGTTGCGCTCTGAAACAAGGAATCGAGATGGCTAAGCTTGGAGCGTACAATGAGCCTGACCCGTCGTCCAGTCTTATATGTTTAATCTGCGTCAATCTACATTAACATCTGCATCTGCATCAACCATCTACATTTTCCTGACAATAGACTTCTCTCCTCATTCTTTACCCGAAAAATCCCACGAGACCCAGACATGTTAAACGACAACTTCACCACAGGAAACACCACCTTCCCCTTGACTATGGAAAGGCAGGTTTCCGCATCGCTATTTTCACCATGGAAGACGTTCGACAAAGTGTTTACCTCAGTCATGGGATACCCGGCCAAGGAGTTTGAGTTCGTTCCTGGCCACACGCCGTTCTCGACCCTGGGCGGAGCCGTGGGAATGGCTGTGCTCTATCTGGTGGTCATCTTTGGTGGCCGTGAGGTGATGCGCAACCGGAAGCCTGTAGAGCTGAACACGCTCTTCAAGATACACAACCTCTTCCTGTCTCTCCTAAGCGGTGCCTTGCTAGTGCTGTTCATCGAGCAGCTCGTGCCAAGCCTGTGGCGCGGCGGCCTCTATGAGAACATATGCGGGGTTTCGGGCTGGACTCAACCACTCGTTCTTCTGTACTACGTAAGTGATCGTTGGGGAACTCGATATAAGCACGATCTCACGCCGAGGAATAGATCAACTACCTTACAAAGTACTACGAGCTCATTGACACCGTCTTCCTGATGGTCAAGAAGAAGCCTCTCACCTTCCTGCACTGCTACCACCACCCGGCGACCGCGCTTCTCTGCTTCTCCCAGATGATTGGGGGCACGCCCCTCTCTTGGGTGCCCATCACGCTCAACTTGACTGTCCATGTTGTCATGTACTGGTACTACTTCCAGACCGCGCGGGGTGTCAAGGTGTGGTGGAAGCAGTGGATCACTCGCTTGCAGATTGCGCAGTTCGTGCTTGACCTGGGTAAGTTGGGTTCTCTCTGTGACGAGAGTACGGAATGAGTGTTTTGGCTGACTTTTCTTTCTCCTCCAAGGATTCGTCTACTTCGGCTTCTACGATGTCTTCGCGGATACCTACTTTAAGGATATTCTACCCCACGTCGGCCGGTGTGGAGGCGAGTTCTTTGCCGCGGTGACGGGCGGCGCGATCCTGACTTCGTACTTGGTCCTGTTCATCATGTTCTACATCTCTACCTACAAGAAGGGCGGTCAGAGGGGTGCGCAAAAGACCAAGTCGGCCGTGCTCAGCGAGAAGAGGTCGTTTGCGGCAGGGCCAGCTAATGGCGCACGGGCCGAGATGAAGAGTTAAGGGCGCTTACTCTGAGTAAGAATAATTCGCTGAGTAAAGCGACGAAGAGCCAGAACGTCCTAGAGGGCCTAGCTGAGTAGAGCGTTATCAGACGAATAATGACGTTGGTGGCATATTTTTGGGGGGGAGGCAGCAATGGAGGTTTAATGCGGAAGAGGCTGGGCCGAAACTGAGGCGCAGTTACTTTCGGCTTAGAAAGCAAGTTGATGCATTAGAAAGAGAGAGATCCAATCGTTGATCTGAAGTCAAAAGGGTGGTGGTGTATATGCCAAAGTGAAATGCCATGTGCATATGGAACAGAACGAGGCTGGTCCATGGAATTAAACTAGCAGTCCAGGTCACCCCTGTATAGCCGCATCCTAGCGCACCCGCGGCGGGAACGCACGGGAGACCAACGGTAGGATGGCGCTAGCCCGATTAGGTGTAGCATCAATAGTACGTACCGTCCGCCTCGGTGGGGGATTTTTCTCTTTCCTTCCCTCTTCTCGACCAGCACATTTCCTTGCTCCATCCCCTCTTTTCCATGAATGCTGTTTTGCAGAAAGCCCTATCCATTACTGGGTTTTGCATTATTCATTGCCCATTTGCTTACGCGTGGGTCATCCGTTTCTCGACTAACACTATCCTTGTACCGGTTCCATCGTTCTGGGAACGAGAACAGCCGTCAACCCGCACGCGTCGCGGCACATTCTCTAAGAGAGCATAAGCAATCACATGCTAAAAAGGAGCCATACTTATCCTTCATGTATATTCCCTGTGTATAACCAAATGATGACATGTCGAGCTATAGTCTGGCAGTACGTGGTCCGCACGAGGATCAACTACACCAAAAGGCGACGGACTGAGGCCAAGCCTCCTGCTTAACTTGCCATCCCAAGCTCTTTTAATCCATCGATCGAGATATATGTGATAATGCACGAGCTAGACACCACAACGATGCCCGATGCTAACCTTCTCCTGCTCCGACGCCCTTGCGTAATAGGTTCGACTAACAATTCTGATAACTGACGTCTCGCCTCAGCCGGCTCCCATTCCGCCAAGATGCGTTCCCGAGACTCTTCCACCTTCCGCTTCACAAAGGGTCCCATAGCCTGCTGTTCTTCACGACCTAAGAGGTCTATCCTTGTTTTCCACAGCTCCTCATCAGGCACCCTCGAGTCCCGCGCGCCAAAAAAGCGCTCGTCAAGGAAGTTCCAGAAGACAGCGTCAAAAGCCCAGCTTTTCCGCGCCGCGTAGTTCAGCCAGAAGCGACCAGTTTCCCAACTTTCCCTCATGTGCGCCGAGAGTGTTACACCATCCAGGAACACAGCGCCCTTCTCCTGCTCCTCCACAACCTTCAGCCATATATCCAATTGTAGCTCATACGCCTTGCTCCACTCGTCGATGCCTGACGGCTTCCACATCTCTGGCGTTTCGAACAACAACCACCAGGGCGGGTCGAGAACAAACTGTGTTGGTGCCGCGTATGTGAATTCCCAGTCGATTGCAGCAGCCACTTTGACCTCACCGTCAGGGCCGGAGCCGCCTATGAGGACATTGGTCGGCCTAAAGTCGTCGCACCAGGGGCGGAAGGCCGCCGACCCGTCTGGGGTAGCAATTCTTAGGCGCGTCATCTTCTTGGAACCAGGAGTGGACAAGTTGTCCTGTAAAAAGCCGAAGGTTGATAGACGGCTCTGTTTAGCAAGTCTGCGAAAGAGGTGGCGGGCGACGTACTTGTTCCGGCAGTCATCCTCACTAGCGACAAGGTTGTTGTGTTGAAAGAGCAGCTGCGCCAGATTCATGTTGGACAGCTCCAGGTACCACTCACCAGCCGTTGTGAAAGTTTTGTCTTTGACAGGAAAGATGGTTGGAGGAACATGAGCAAGCTGCGTCAGGCTGTTCAAGTTTTGCGTCAGTGGTCGGCCAGCAACCTGAAAGGATCCATTCACCTCTAGCAGAGACCCAATGCGAGGGAATTTTGGTCTTTCCAACTCCATCAGAATCCATGACATCTTGCCCCACAGGCTTCTGAGCTTGCTCTCCGGCAAACTTAGGTTCAAAGCTGGAGGTAAGCCTGGATCCCGTCCTGGGATAGCAAGAAGATCTGTCATGTCGCAGCCGTGCTCAACACGACGAATTATGAGCATTGGCCCAATATCAGACTCCCGGACGTAGTGGAGGACCTGTGGAACGGGAACACACGTGTTGAGTCTCAGGTATTCAGATGTTGCTGCCTCATAAAGAGTCTTTTCGCCCGGGAACTGGACTGTCGATGGCCAAGGCACTCGCACCATGACGTCTAACGCATAAGCCCTCCAACAAGCAAGAATACGCCTTCCTTCAAATAAGCCCTTCTACAGCAAGACAAGCAGCTTACATGGCACGAATCAATAAGATAATTGGAATGACACACATTCTCTCTTTGAGCCCGGACATCATCGAAAAAGGGCATCCATCCCCTTGCGTTTTAGCCAGCCTTTGAATAGAGCCCAATCATAGTATCAGCACACACAACGGACTAATACAGACCGGATAATGGCATGATGACACAAAAGATATACCATGGTTCGCAGTGGAAAGTCAAGACCAGAGCCCATATAACATGTGTAGACGCTACGCCGCAGACTAATATGACCCTAGTCCTACGCTCTAACTATCCGTAACTCGTGTTATTGGAACGAATTCGCTGCCAGAGAACAATAAGCAACCTCAAATTACCGCGATGCTGATCTCCTATCTTCTGGAGTCCATAGCGTTGGGTTAATGCATCAAAGTCGCGAACTAGCTTCCGCGGTCGTATCGAATCTCCGCACAAGAACGCCAAAGATTTCATCGCGGATTCAATGTCGTTACACATGCTCCATTTCGCTCGTGATGCTACCTGGATGAAGGTAGCATCATCCAACGATCACCGGTTTGTCAGCGGCTCAGGGGCTGGTGTTTTCGGCGAGAACATCGCCGTCAACGGCTGCCCAGACGTATATCTTTAAGAGCATGGAGCAAGACAGGGTGACCATCATATCCCGGAACATGAACTCTGCAATCCCCTGGTGCCTTACGTTTGTTCATAACAATGTCCAAAATACTCGGGCTCAGCAGTTTGAACGCAACCAACAGCCCAACTGCATCCCCCAAACTTAGGACAAACGTCTAGACGGCCCATGGCCTCTCGTTGGCATCCCGCATTGCAATCCACTCCTATATGAGTTTCTTCACTATTCTACGGCCGGAACCAATCTTCATCTTCATGGCCATTGCCTTTTGTGCTCTGAACCTCAAGTCCCTCCCCTTTATTTGGCACCTTCGTGTCCCCAATGCGTTCCGCTTCACAGTCAAAACCCTCCGCCCCCGCGTGCGGCCCCGTCATTCCATGGTCTTCCAGCCCATGAATACGCCCTCCTCGGCCGATCTCGTTGAGATGCCTTCAAACTCCACAATGGAGCCGGTAGTGTGGACGCGAACAGCCCGTACCCTGACCGGGCCTGCGGGGCGCCACCGAGGCGTTCAAGGCGGACTGAGATATGTACGCGGCGGCCCTGAGCCGTTGCGTGTCCAAATCGGGCCGCAAGACTATCTCCCCGGGGGATATGCTACGCATGGTCGGCCTCGTGCCCAAAGACGACGACGGTGCTTCGTCCGATGAATCGGAAGAAGAGGCCGGTAGCGAGCTGCAGGACGTTGAGGAACAGCGCCGGCACGGGCTGAAGCTCGCGTCTATGTTTGAAAAGGAAAATACAGCTTGCACTCGAAGCCGAGTTCCACGACGGTAAGGGCCAGGTGCTCGGAAGGCACATGGGCGGGACAGGAGTCGTCGATGTGGTCCTCACGCTGCTGCAGCTGGCCGGCCTAAGGAGGAAATGGTATATATAGAGTGATGATGCCATTCGCAGCGGTTCTGGAAGCAGAAGCTATATAGCAGCTGGGCTAGTCGATTCAAACTTCATAATAATGAGCATCTAAGCAGTTGGAAACCCCTCTCTTGTCTCACACGCTGAACGTCTCCCGTAACGATCTCCCCACCACGCGAAGAGCATATGTCTCATATATTCCTCGCGTTACAATGTCTTGAACCCCCGCAGACACTAAGTAATCGTTATCGGGTCTCAGAATCGAATGCCCCCTCGACCATCGCCTAGCGCGTCCGCCCCTTCGCCCTTTGTGTCCCTTTGTCTCGTCGTCGGACGAAAAAGTCTGTCTCAATGACACCAACCCCACGTTCCGCAGAGCTGACAGTTCCTCGGCCATGCCAGAACCGGAGACCCTAGTCCCCAGCGAGACTAGCAGACGGGCTCCAGGTCGGCGCGGTGATGTCCGGTTGGCCGGTCCGCGCTGCGTCTCTTGGCTACCGCCAATCAGCGCGCTCATTCACTACCTAGCTGCCCGACCATATTTCGACGCAGTCTACTAGCTTACAGGCCACGATTGTCTTAGGTTTGGTATTCAGTCTTGTGAGGTGGCCGACGCAGGATCGCTGCTACCACGATGCCTCCGTCTCGTGGGCTGAGGTGGTCTCTGAGCGCCACCAACGACCTGGCACCGGGGATCTGGTTGGCACCCACGAAAACCTGGCGGATGAAAGGTTGTCTGGGTGTTTCGGATTGTTTCTTTGAAAGCGAGACAAAAGTAGCCAACTGCCCATCACCAAACTTATCTACCAAACTCCACCCGTACCTCCAGCCTGGCACGGTCGTCGTCTTGATACCACAGAGACGTTCCAGGCGCTCGAAACGTGGTTGTTCTCAGAAGCTAAGATACATCTTGACTGCCGTGGCCTCGATATGGCAGACGATAATCACCCCGAGAAGCCGGAAGGCGGTGGTAATAACACCACGCCCAGAGAAGAAGACGTCCCGCAGTGGCCCTCCATTGATGAGAGGCCATCCTCTGAATTTCTCGGCGAGGAGAAATGGCGGGTTTCGATCTTCAACCCCGACTCGGACGATAGTACGGTCGCCTTGCCAGATCTCGGCGACAAGGGCTCCTTGCCGTCCTACTGCGAGGACGAGGACGATGACGAGGAGGCCATCCTCCCGGCGTGGCTGACCGAGGCCTGGCAAGAAAAGGCCCAGCTATCCAAGGAGTGCACCTCGGCGCCGGCAGCGGAAGCTGACGAGAGCAAGGAGACTCAAGTCGACGAGCCGGTGGCAGATGATAAGCCTCATCGGGGGAGCAGGATCTCTTCCGCGGGGTTCCGCTGCTCGCAATGCGGCCACTACCGCCGCGATTCCATGCGATCCTCGACCACGTTTGGAAACGGACCGCAATTGCCCACAGAACATCAACACGAATCCTGCCTCCGACGCCCGGCATCTTTATCTCTCTTCCCACGCACAAGACCACCCTCACCCCTGAGCACCCAGCGCGCTTTCCCCCTGTCCGTTAAGAGGGTCCCTTCCAAGGCCGTGTCGGACGCGCAGACGTTCTACAGCGCGCAGGAGGGGGAGGGCGTCAACTCCCCGGAGCCGCACTCGGAAACTGCATCCGTCATATCCTCCATCTTCGCCACGCCGTTGCGGCACCTCGCGAGCAACCCATCGCTCAGGGGCTCCTTGTCTACCGACACGGCGACGAGCGAGGAACAGCGCGTTACGCCCATTGCGGAGCAGAGACACCCGGGCAAGGCCGGCGCGCGAATCAGCCGCTTCACGAGGCCGTTCGAGCCGGACATTGACGAGGAGGACGACGGCTCGGGGTACCGGCGGCAGGTGATGGATATGGAGGTGGTGCGGGCCGAGAAACAAGGCTCGGAGCTGACCCAGACGGCGGACGGGAAGGACGAGAAGGAAGAGTGGGTCGAGGGGTGGCGGCTCGCGTTCCTGCTGCTGGGCATCTGTCTCGTGGTGTTCTTGATATCCGTCGACCGCACCATACTCACGACGGTAAGAGCAATCCCCTACTCCGCATGCAAAGCAAAAGGGTCTATTGAAACTGATAAACGCAGGCCATTCCCTACATCACGTCCGAGTTCCAGTCGACGGCGGACATCGGGTGGTACGGCTCAGCCTATCTGCTGACAGCTTGCGCCTTCCAACCCGTCTTTGGCAGGGTCTTTATGCTCTTCTCCATCAAGTGGTCGTACATGCTGGCCATGTTCATGTTCCTAGTCGGATCACTCATCTGCGGCCTTGCGCCCAACTCGGTGGCGCTCATCGTCGGTCGTGCCGTGGCCGGGTTCGGGAGCGCTGGCATCCTAACCGGCAGCTTCGTCGTCGTGGCGATGGCGGTGCCCTTGCGGCTCCGTCCTATCTACACCGCCATCGTCGGTCTGATGTGAGTGTTTTGTTCGTCTTTCTCTGAAAAGAGAGAATCATCCCAAATCTTTGACGCTAACCCCCTTCCAGGTTTGGCCTCGGAGCCACTGTCAGTCCTCTACTTGGAGGCGTATTCACAGACCTAGTCGTGAGTAGTCCCCTGAATAACGTCATGGCGTCCTGAACTAAACGGTCGGCAGACCTGGCGATGGTGCTTTTACATTAACCTCCCCGTCGGAGGCGTCACCGTCCTAGTCTTTCTTCTGTTCCTCCACCCCCAGCGACGCCCGCGCCACGAGCAGACCTTCTTCGACAGGTTCATGGACCTCGACATCGTCGGCAACGTGTTGCTGCTCGGCGCCTGCGTGATGCTGTTCCTAGTGCTCGAGTTCACGGCGCAGGGGGAGGCATGGTCGAGCCCCCGGGTGGCCGGCTTGCTCGCCAGCGCCGGCGCGACGGCGGCCGTCTTTGCGGCATGGCAGTGGTGGAAGCAGGACGGCGCCCTGATCCCGCCGGCCATCGTCACGCAGAGGACGGTAGCCGCTTCGTGTGTCGCCGCGTTTGCCACATACGGGGCGCTGCTGATCCACTCTTACTTCCTGCCACTCTGGTTCCAGGCCGTCAAGGGCGAGAGCGCCACCTCGTCGGGCGTGGACATGATCCCGTACGTCGCCACGAACGCCCTCTTCTCCCTCTTCTCAGGCTTCTTCGTCTCCGTTGTCGGCTACTTCGTGCCACCGGCCGTGGTCGGGGGCGTGATCGCGACGGCCGGGTGCGGCGTCTTCTTGCTGCTGTCTCAGGACTCCCCGACGACGCAGTGGATCGGCTTTGAGATCCTCGTGTCGGCGGGCTTTGGCATGTCTATTCAGCAGGGCTTCACGGCCGTCCAGGCCATCTTGCCTCCCGACGACATCTCCATCGGAACCGCGGCCGTCGTGGCCTCGCAGTCTTTGGGCGGCGCCATCTTCATCTCCGTCGGAAACACCTTGTTCCAAAATCACCTCCTACAGGCCTCGGCGCAAAACATGGTCCCAGGCGTCGACATTCGCGCGGTGCTCGAGGGCGGAGCGACGGCTTTCCGTGACGTGGTCCCGGCCAGCGCGCTGCCGATGATGCTCACCGTGTACAACGAGGCTCTCCGGGTAGCGTTCACGGCAGCGATTCCCTTGGCTGGCGTGTCGGTTATCGCGGCTTGCTTCATGGAATGGAAGTCGGTGAAAGGAAAGAAAGCTGGATAGATAGCGAGCGCACGTGTTGAATATGAACAATGAGCCGTGTTGGCTGATGGAGAAGATCATTCCACGTGTCGAAGATGATCCGCAGCTTCTGAGACACCCTACCTTTGCTCCATGTGTTTTGCAAGCTAGCGATGATTCCATGTAAGCCGCACGCCATCCAACCCCAAGCTGAAGTAGGATTCGATGCTCCATTCCGACTTCTGGCAAGGTAGCCGAGCTAACCGATCAACCATCCACCCCTGTTTCCCCGGGTGACTGGTTAACGGTCAGCATTCAGCTCGCATACTACGTATTTGCGCCGATTTAAAACGGGGACTTGTTGACCCCAAGATACGTCGCCAAGGCGGTGCCTAGCAAGAGTAAGGCCACACAAGCAACACAACAATACAGGACCTTCAATCTGACCTGTAAGGGGAATTGCAAGGAGGCGCACCTGGTGCTTCCTACTCCTGGTATGCACCCAATCAGGTGGGGGGGGTCCTTCGCAATGTACGTTGGGGCCAAGATCCTTCGCAGCCCACGTTCAGTGTACACAAAGCACTCGATGCAATGTAAGAGCACGGCCAGGGAAGCTGGAGTGACCGACAGGGAACAAAGGCCCGGCGTGGCAGGCTTACTGGAATTGGCGATCTGGACCAAGCCCGGCGGCTAGAGGTATTTATCACCGTCTCTCCCGCGTGGCTCCCCCCCCTGCCGTGCGATCCCCGTCCCTTTTCTCCGTGTTCAGAAACCATCGTGAACGATGCACCCTCCGCGCTGGTCTCTTGCAGTCGGCATCCTGGCCGCGACAGCGTCCGGGCAGCTGTGTTACTGGCCCAACGGCAAGGACGCAAGCCTTGTGGCCTGTCCCGTCGCCAACGGCACGGCGGCCGCGTGCTGCTTTGCGGACCACTACTGCATGAGCAACGGCGTCTGCTTCTCCAACACCGACTTGAGCTTCTACCGTGGCGCCTGTACAGCCAAGGACTGGTCGACAAGCGGTTGCCCGACGTATTGCGACAAAGAAGACGTCGCGGGCGCTGGTAAGTGATATCTGCCTCTTCCAACTGGCGAACGCAATGGCTGATATGATTTGCTTCGCAGTTCTGAGGGCTCACGTCGGCATTGCAAAATGCACTAACAAGCAGTATGCGTGCCAATCAACGAGCAACTGCGCAACCGACAGCTTTGAAGTGCCTGTAGGAATCATGCTGTCGAACCTGTACTTGAAATCGGATATCGGTGTCGTCTCGACCGCCTCCACCGTCAGCACAGCCGGCACACCTTCCGCAACCGCGACGAGCGTCGGTGCCGGCGGAGCCACCGAAGCGACATGCACATCGACGCCGGCGGCCGCGGCGGCCAGCAGCGGAATCTCAACCGGCGCGGCGGCGGGCATCGGCGTCGGCGTCGGCGCTCCGCTGGCTCTCGCCGCCGGGCTGCTCACGGTCCTGCTCCTGCACGAGAAGAAGAAGACGAGGGCGGCGTTATCGAGGCCGGTATACTCCGAAATCGCCCCGACTTCGCCGTGGGCGAAATCCGAACACACGACTTACGCGCCGGTGGAGATCCCAACCCAGGCACCGCCACCCGAACTGCCCAGCGACCATCGTGGCAGGCACGAGCTTTCCTGAAAGTAGAGAGCACTGGGGGCGTACATGGTTTCGGTATCGGATTTGACCAAGGAGAGAGAGCGCGCGCGCTATGAATGTAGGACGGACAACCACGGCATGTGTTGGGCAAGAAAGACGGCCTGCTGTCGAATGGTATCACTGCAGACTCCACAAGAGTCGATCGTGCGCGGGTTTGTAGATATGGAAATGCGACGATGTGAGACTGTTATGATGGCCTTGCGAGGACTCACTGCTACCCAAGCCACTATCAAACAGGACCAAGAGTTGAAAGCCTCACTTAGATAATACATAACACTTTAAGCCAACGATTCCACACGTGCGCATGAATATTCAACGTCTCGTTGCCTAACAGTCGCTAGGAATCTGATCCATTCATAAGTTCCGCGCCACATTCGCAGCCCGGAAGCAAGTCACGAAACCGAAATACAAAGACGGAAACGGTTTGTATAAGGAAGAAAATGACGGCATCGTCTGTTTCCTATAGGTCATGGCGACCAGCCGAGGTTGAAGCCGCATATACCAATAGAACAGGCTGGCATATATGCATTACCCTGCCAGTGTCACGGTTCGCCTTTCCTGGTATTGCAATGATGGTGTGACGGAAGTATGAAATGTCTCTAATTTTGGTCTGGTACGGTTCCAGAGCTGAGGCGTGGCCCTCTGGACCACGTGTGGCGCCCGTCGGCCTCTTGGAACCAAAGTTCACATCTCAACCTACCGATTCGAGTTGGAATCGGTCCAAAGATGTCGTCTGCGCCCATACTAACTAGGTATCCAGGGCATAACGGTTACTTCGGCCTCCGAATAAGCACATTAGACTACATATTACGGAGTAATGTCAGCTTATACCCGCTCACACCCCTGCTTCCAGCAATATTGATGTTGTATTGCATGCAGCCCAGGGGATACGTCGTCAGGGCCTCAAGAATACTTATATAGCATGACTACGGAGTACATATGCACGTTCTCTGTTTTACGTTTTGTCTTTCCGGCCCTTGCGGCGGATCGTCGATTCCACGAGCGACCTTCGCTGTCGCGCCATTCGTCTCCTCCAAGCACCAGATCCCTGCTCACCACGCTGCACATTTACTCAGTGACGCCTGCACAGAACACAATACAACAGGATGGCTGACCACATACTTGCTGGGAAATGCCATTGTGTTAACAGAGGTTTCCAGCGCTCCGCCGTCTTCAGGCACGGCCGCAGTCGTGTCTCAGCCGATACCCACAGCAACCGAGGCAGGCTCCGGCTCCGGCTCCGGCACCAGCTCCGGCACCAGCTCCAGATCTCCCGCATCTACCGCCACGTCGTCCGCATACATTTCGCCACCAACCGGCGTCCGCCCCGCCTCGACTGACAACGGCTGCCCTAACATCAACCAGACCAGTTACACGCCGGCCGACGCCAACGGCGACTCGGTCAAGGTCAGCTCTAACTCGGCCCTAATTTTCCGGCAGCTCTGCGAGGTCAACTACCCGTCCGGCGCCGAATACGGGAACCCGAATCTCTACGACATCTTCAAGGTCTACGTCCCGAATTTCCGGGAGTGCATGGACCTGTGCGCGGCGTACAATCAGGCGTACATCGGCAACCTCGCCTCGGGCAAGATGGCAAGCGGAGGCTATTGCCGATCCGTCGCCATGGTCAAGCTCCCTGGGGAGTACTGCTATCTGAAGAACGGGACCGGCGAGACCAGCAAGATGGATACGCAGGGACACCCCAAGGACTTTATCAGCGCTATAAGTCCAGACGTTGTAATAAGTAGAAGTCGAATGTCGTAGAACTGCCCCAATTTGGAAGTATAAATCGCCATACAGAGAATTGCCAATTGAGCCGTTGTAGAGAGCGTCCAAGGTTTTTCATAGCTGAAGTCGAAACTACAACATGGACCTGGAACCGCCATGTTGATGAATGTCGCCGCTTGTCAAAAGGACATTCAACTTCGGGACCGTCCTCCTAGGAAGCCACGCAGACTGGACATCATTAGCGTAGAAATGCCAAGTTGTGCCGAGGCGTCTGAATGAGACGTCTGATCTACTCCAGAGAGCTACAGTCCTTGCTAGCCCGGGCTAGACAACCGCTTTGGACGGATTAAGAAAGCTGCCGCTTTTTGTTAAGCCTGGGCTGATGTCAGGAGTTCTCGGTGCATGCAGCCATCTCACCAAACTTGTTTCGAAACCATATGGAAATGGGCTCCTGGCTGGGGCTTTCCGATATTCCCGAGGCTCGTCTCATGTTTAACCACACAATTCCGGCCTGTTAGTAAGTACAAATCACGAAGGGCAGAAGGCGTGACGCAAAAGTCATTAGCAATCCCAATTGAACGGCTAAAATGTCAATCGAAGACGATCCGGTTTCATCACTAATCGCTTGCGCAAGCGTTACTCAGTTCATGTCATCGTCATTTCAAGACTCATCTGTGTCCCGATCATTCGCTCGAAGCCACCTCGGCCCATTCCGCCGAAACTCCAATACCATACTCCATTATGTCCCGTGAGTGTCACCAGGATGACCGCCAGGTCAGAAGCTCATTTCTTGCCGGAGCTGCCAGAGCCGCCGGAGCCGCCAGAGCCGGAGCCGTAGCCAGAAGAGGACCGATCGCCACTAGGGGAGGTGTAGGTCGAGCCCCCAGAGCCATTGTTGTAGTATGTGCTGCCGTTGGAGTTGGAGTAGTAGTAGGATCCATCGCTGCGGCACAAGGCGTTAGTCTCAGAAGCTGAAGCCGGATGCAGGCAAGGCAGGTATGCAATCAGATGGCGATTTCTTGCCCAAGAAAAGACCTACGTGTTGGAGTAGTGGTACGAGTTGGGGTTGGAAGCGCTGCTGCCGTAGTCGCGGGCGCAGTAGTGGTTGCCCTGTGTTCAGTCAGCTATTCCGTCCGAGTCACCGGACCCTGAAGATTCAAATGAGATCGTACCTGGCTGTTAGTGCCAGAGCTCTTGTATTCGTATCCGCTAGGCATCGTGGGTGTTTGAGTTGGAGGTAGTTGGTTGGGCAGTTGGTTTGGGAGAGGTCTTTGGCAATGAGGTGATGAAGGGAAGAAGGACGGAGGTAAGGGGAGGCCATTCGGCAGACGGATAAAAGTTTAAATAAGGGAAGGAAGGCGCCTGCTGGATCTCCCTCATCGCTGCCCCGCATCACAAGTTGTTGATTGTCGATGCGGGCGGGGCAAATGAGATAGGCGGGAAGTCGCTTCAACTACACCGCACCCGTTTTGGTTGATAAATGTGTTTTAAGCTCACGCCCACATCGAGGCGTTTCTGTCTGGGAACCAAGGCACTTTATTGGCCAGCATGCGCAATCACGAGCAGGTTTTTTGCTGAGAGACGCAGGCGAAGTAGCAATCATGAGGCTGGGCAACTTGCTTTTTTTTTGTCTTCGCCCTTGTCCTGCAAACTGATAACATCGTGGGATGAACAAGGGTCGTCCACGTAGGCCCGGTGGTGGTCTCAAGCTCAAAAAGTTGGCTTTTGGCGGAAATAAAAACAGCGGCAATGGCCTCTGGGAGGGAGAGGCCCGATTGAACTATGAAGTTTGTTGCACCGAAAGGCACCCTCCACATCCAAGAGTATGTTTCTCATATATCCACTCATAAATAACTGTTGAACAATACAACGTACAGATGCAAGTGTCAGGAGCCGCCGAGATCCCCTCGCTCGTAGGGTTCCACACAACAAGTACAGGGGGGGACTGAGTCAGTTGCGAATGCAGGGGAGATCAACTGACTATATGTAGCTCACTTGGACCTCATCTCCAATACGCGGCATCAATCGTGGCCTCTTCCACGTATTCCCCAACTGCAATCAACGCATCACAGGCGTCCCAGCTTGGTCGGTGCCCTCGGTCGATGTCTCGCACATGATCGCATTCGCTTGTCCTGTCTTCGTCGTAACCGTTCGGGGTGTTTTATCTCATTCCAACACTTATTATCGTGACGTTAGCCTCGGTCAGGCCACTACGGAGCATAACAAGGGGTTTGTTCCTCGCGAATTTCAGTGAACCTACTTCTTGCCGTACCCTGAGCATGTTCGGTACCCGCTGGCCGAGGTATACGTCGTCCCGCCGTTGCTCTTGTTGAAATGCGCGCTGCTCCTCGGATTGGAGTAGTGGCGCGTTTCGCTTCTGTCCGTCGACCACGTCAGCCGTTCTTCCGCTCAACGGGAAACAATGCAGGTACGAAGGGGAGGCGAGGACGAGACTCACGTATTGGTGTAGTGGTACAAGTTCGGGTTCGAAGAGCTGCTGCCCTGATCGCGGGCGCCGTTAGGGTTACCCTTTCCCCCCTCAGTAAGTTTCCGCAGCGCAGAGACAGCTCCCGAGGAGAAGAAAGCAAGCTTCGGCGGGGGAAGGGTGATAGGGAAGCTTAGGTACCTGGATGTTGGACCCGGAGCTTGTGTATACGTAGCTGCTGCTGCTCGCCATATCGTTGGTATGGGGGTGGGTAATCCCTACTGTCCGGATCTTTCGGGGATAGCGCGAGGTTAGATCAATTCATTGAAGGATGAAGACAGCGTAAGAGTGAACACGAGGACTCCAACGCTCGACACAAGCGGAGATGGGACAGGCGAGCTTAAGTGCGAGGGAAACTCTCCATTTCACATGGGCTGATCACTGCGGTGCGCGCATATTGAAACGCATCTCTACCCCGCCCTTGGGCGCTTGAAAAGACATGATTGAACTCAAAGATTGGACGGGGACGGCCGGGGGGGGGGGGGGGGGGGATGGGTAGCTATGTAGTTACTAATAATTTGTACAACCGTGCGGCCCTACCACGGAAAGCATCTTCAGGACCGAGCGAGTCGGGACAAAAAGCATGCGCTGGCAGCCGGTCATGCATCCGGGGGGGCCGGGGTTCTTGTCGTGAGGCGTGGTGGTTCGAGGCTTCATGTGGGGGGGGTTTCGAGCCTCGCAGCACATCGGATCTCCTGAGGAAGCAGGTTCTTGAGAGATCAAATGCGATGCTGCAATGTATGTATGTCAAATGGGGAGGGGGGGCCTTGACGATCAGCGCCCTCGTTTTCTGGGAAATATTGGGACGTGAGGCACTTGGATTTATGCGCGGGGAGCAGCGGCTCTTCGAATAATACATTGTGCCCCAAACGCTGACGTTTGGTTACAGTAACCAAGCAACCCTGGGTCGCCCCAAGTTCGGTCCGGACGTGGGGCAGTCGGTCCGGCCGTCACGAAAGACATTTCCGAGATCTGCTTCGGCGAAGCTCGGACAGGGCTCCGACCAATGTGAGAAAAAAGAGTCATCCTCTTCAACGCTTGAATTCAAAGTCTATGTTTTCCGCCGTTCATCTAGTCTAGAAGGGGTTCTATATCGCATTGAGCAGCTCCGAAATCTATCGCGACTTAAAGGTGGTGATCTAGTCACTGAGGGTTGTTGTTGGGGTCCTTGGCATCGCCATCCTCGAGCTCGGCAAGGTACTTCTCCGCGTCCATGGCGGCCATGCAGCCGGTGCCGGCGCTGGTGATGGCCTGTCTGTATCTCTTGTCCTGAACGTCACCGGCGGCGAAGACACCCTCGATGTTGGTCAGGGGAGTACCGGGCTTGGTGACGACGTAGCCCTCGGAGTCGGTCTCGAGCTGGCCCTTGACGAGCGTCGTCGCGGGCTCGTGGCCGATGGCGTAAAACAGGCCGTTGGCCTCGAGCGTCTCCTCCTTGCCGGTCACGGTGTCTTGGACAACGAGGTGGCTCATGAGGCCGTCGGCGCCGCCCTTGATCTCCTTGCCGACCGAGTTCCACCGCACGGTGACCTTGTCGTTGCTCAGCAGGCGCTTGGCCATGATCTGGGAGGCGCGGAGGACGTCGCGGCGGACAAGGACGGTGACGTGGCTGCCGTACTTGGTGAGGTACAGGGCCTCCTCGGCGGCCGAGTCACCACCACCGATGACGACAAGGTGCTTGTTGCGGAAGATGGGTACGGCACCGTCGCACACGGCGCAGGCGGAGACGCCGTTCTGCCAGTACTTCTCTTCGCCGGGAAGGTTGAGGCGCTTGGCGGAGGCACCGGTGGCCAGGATGATGGCGTCGGCGGTGTGGGTCTCATCGGGGGAGAACTCGGTCGAGTACTTGAAGGGGCGAGAGGAGAGGTCGAGCTTGGAAACGGTGTCGGTGATGATCTCGGTGCCGAAGCGGGCGGACTGCGCCTTCATGTTCTCCATGAGCTCGCCGCCCATGATGCCCTTGGGGAAACCGGGGAAGTTCTCGACATCGGTCGTGGTGGTGAGCTGGCCGCCGGCGGCAATGCCGTTAGCCATGAAGCCCTCGTAGAGGACGGCTGCGACCGAGATGGTCAGTTGGTGATGGCGAATTGGGAGGAACAATGGACAAGGGGATGCTTACGCTTCAGCTCAGCGCGCGCCAGGTAGACGGCTGCGGTGTGGGCAGCAGGCCCAGAGCCAATGACTGCGTGGTCATGTCAGTAAAGGTGCGCGCATTGCAAGGTGAGGCCATCGTAGCTCCATCGTAGATGAGATGGCTTGCGAGGGGGAGCGGTGACGTGGAAGGGGGGCATGACATACTGACAACCTTGCTGTGCATGTTGCGGGCACTAATCTTTAATTCGGCAGGATTTGCAGTGTTCTTTTTGAGGGAAGTGGTGGCTGCGGCAAAGGAGAGTCCTGTCACACTCGAGCGAAGAAATGTTCGTCCAAAGGTTGAAGAGAACAGTTTGGCGGTGATATGCGCGTTTGGAACACGCACTATCCTCTTTGACGGCGGGGTATCAAAAAAAGGGAGATTATATGTACGGGAGGGGAGGGGCGGGTCGGCCACCAGGAGGGGGCGTGGGAGGGGTGGAGGGGGGGCGACGCAGTGTAAAACGCAGAAAGGAGACCGGCGACGGTGACGGGCTTGCGGGCTTTGGTTCCAATCAAGGCCTACGAGACTCGCGGAGCTGCTGTCGTCAACGGGTACTGGATGAATGATGTGCTACAAAAGGCCGGGCTTGCCAGGGATGGCTTCTCACTGGACGGCAGTTGACTCTAAAGTGGGCGCAAGCAACGTCTCTGCGGTTAGGTATCCGTAGATTTCTAATGATGCTGGGATCTCGTTGCTCGGCTTCCGTGGTGGATTCCAGAATCCCAGAATTCCAGATTTTTCTTTTGGGCAGCCGCGCGATTCAGGCCCACGCATGCAGCCTACCATACCAGCCCATGGTGCCATCCAATGCCATTCGGAGAGCCGTTTTTGCCGTCCTATCTGGCTTATCTAAGCACCGAGTTCCCCGGTCCCGTTGGTGGCCAACAATGTGTCTCCACTTACCGAGGCTCCTCCGAGTGACACAACTCGGTGCTCCGAGCAACGACAGCCCATCGTCATAGTCCCGGTGTTGGGGAACCGACCACAAGCCCACAAGGGTTCTTCGCTCATACCGCTGAATCTTATCAATCGCATCAGCTTCTTCCACGGAATTTGGAATCCCCTCATGCTAACGTCAACGAAGCCATGTTTGGAGCAGCCTCAGAGTCTGGCCGGGTTTTTGGCCGGCGGTATCCTCCTTGCTCCCAGGGCATTGTGAACGTCCAAGAAGTCAAGTGGCCTTACAAAGAGCAACCACTATTTGCTTCTTTAGACGCTTAAGATTCCCGAGACAATGTCGGCACACCTGGTACGATATATTATGCCAGGAAGCTAGCATGAAACGATGACAAGTGGAATCTGTTTTGCAGCATCACTATGTTCCGCAATACGCATCGGTTTGTTCCATGTTCTCATGTATAAGCGGGGCCGACGAGCAGCTTGCTCCCCAGCAGTGCGTTTTAGAAGACTCGATTGCACAGTATGATGAAGAATGACCTCAAGTCGACCGAATCTTTTCCGTCCTTGTTGAACAAACACACCGCCGAATACGATTATCAGAAGACAAGAGATCATGTGCCAGTACGGGCGTAGACAAACATAGCGCTGGCAGTTGACTTCATGCCTTCATTCTTGTTACACATTACATATAGATGACCTTCCATCGTCGTCCCTGGAGCGGGCGTCGTCTAGATATCGTTGAACACATCCTTCTCCTCATGTCCCATGAAGGTCCTCCCAGCAACAACTCCTTTTTTCTCCTTCCCATCTCGCCAGCGCACGCTGAGCCACGACACCGCCTTGTCTAAAATCTCTCCCTCTCCTGCCGCCTCAGCTCCTCGCGGAAAGCGTTACCGCCGCCGGCGCCCCGCACATCCTGGCCCTGGAAGTGGGTGGACGTTGGGGTACCCGCCAGGCTGCCAAGCGAGTCGCTGTCCCTTCTGGGACGGCCGGCGGGCCGCTGTCCGGAGAGGGGCTCGTCGCGGTACACGTATCCGTCGTCGCCGAGGTTCATCTCGTGCTCCCGCAGCTGAATGCCGCGGCTTTTGCGGCCGTGGAAGACGCTCTGGCGCACACGGGCGCCCAGGCGCTGCGCGCGCGCCTTGCCGATGCCGTACCCGTGACGCGAGCGGCTCATGACGTTCCCGAGGCCGATCTTGCGGGTGCTCCGGTTCCAGAGGCAGCCGCCGATGACGGCGATGACGATCAAGCCAAAGACGGTCGGCAAGGCGATGTACAGCTCGGCACCCTTGGGGATCTTGGTGGGCTGCGGGTGGAACTGCGGGCGCTTGACTACGAGGACGCGGGGGCCCGTGATGTCAGTCTGCGCTATGTTGTCGATGGTGTACGACATGACGAGCTCGATCGTGGCGTTATCCTGGCCGGATGGGATGAGGCTGCCATCGACGTTCCAGGCGTAGTAGCCCCACGCCGCCGGGTTGGTCTTGTCTGTGTCGTCGTTGAGGACGGTGTCGCCGACCGTGGTGCCGTTGACCGCCTTGCCCTGGATCTTGACATGGACGTTGGTCTTGTTGCCCTTGATGAGCACGGTGGGGTCCCAGGTCACTAGAAGAGGTCAGCATCTTGCGTCTTTTGGCGTGCAAAAGACCAGTAGGGTCGCTTACCATAGTACGTCCCATCGACAAAGAGCTCACTATCCTTGACAGGATCGCAAAAGGGTGAAAAGTCACCATTCGCGTTGTTGCAGGGGGCGAAAGCTCCGGCACCACTCTTGCTGTCGGCAGTAGCCAGCGGCGGGCTGCCGGTGCTCGTGGTGACCTGCACGAGGTGGAAGTCTGTCATGGTGAAGACGCTCCCCGTCAGTGCGTTGGGCGCGGCGGACGCGAAGGTTGGGGTGCCGGAGATGGTGGTCGGCACGGGGGTGACGGTCGTCGGGACACCCTTGTCGTTGACGCTGATCCAAGCGGCCGTGGGAGCGATAACATCGGCACGGGCAACGAGGGTCGGCGCGGGGACGGCAGCGACGCCTTGGAGGAGGAGAGCGGCCGGAACGGCGAGGTTGAGCGCGTGCATCGTGACGATGGGGAGGGAAAAGCGAATTCCAACGCAGCGCTGGGAGGAGCTTGGCAACGAAGGGATCGAGATCAAATCAAAATTGACCAGAGCAGAAAACGAGTGTGAGGATGCTCTCGTCCACAGCGGATGAATGTATCGCGATTGAGGGAGAGGAGAGAAGAAAAGATTGGACGGGCCAATGTTTACATGCAAGGGACGAACAGGTCGAAGGGGGGATTAAGAAATGTCACCCCAGGTCGCGGAAGCGACGTGCATGATCCCTCCAGACGATTTGGGCGCTGTGGGGGGGCGGGGGGGGGGGGCGTATTGGCTGTCTACGGGATAGTCCCCACTGCCGAAATTGGCTCTTCATGGGATAGGGCGTTGGAAACAGGCTTAGATGGCGCTTTGGCCCAGACGGACTGACTTGAACCCTGCCGGCTCTCTACTAACATGCTCCGTCGAGGCAGGCGATCGAACGGCCAGACTGGACCGGCCTGATTGGTCAATTGAAAGCAACGTGTAGGGATATGTCTTACAAGACCAACAAGATAAACAAATACCCACACGACCTTGGTCTTCACTTTCTCAACACTGGACAAGATAAGATGATGAACTAGGGTAGTGTCATTATAAGCAAAACGCTTGCTTGATGCTTGATATCAACGCCGTTGATCCCGTTTTGGTGTTGCTGATGTGATCAACCGTCTCCCCAAAGTTGTTTCTCGTTATGCACGGTGTCATTCAGCATGCCGGCGAACCCCCTTCCTGATATATAAGTCGCAGTTCTCTCGGTATTCGCCTCATTGTGGCCTCATCATCATTAGCCCGTTGAAGGTCCTCTGTCTCGGAGCCGATGCTCTAGTAACGGGAGACCGTACTGGGATTCCAATTCCTCCAGCGTATTCCTGCTCCGGACTAGACATCTCGTTCTGCGACTCCTGTCCCTCTTCCTCCTCGACGACCTGCTTTCCTTGGCTCTTCCCCGATCCTTCATCAGGCCGCCTATCTAAGATGACGACAGGAATTTTCCGCTGGTGTGGTCGACCGACCTCCAGCGGATCCTGGAACCCCTGCGGTCTCGTCCTCATCCTCAGGCCCAGCTTGATCCGCTGCTCCTCGATCTTGTCCGCGGCTGCTCGCGTGTCAGTCGACACCCGGTCCATCTCCACCTTGATCATGTGGCCCGGGCATTGCACATTGGGGCATCGGCCGGGCTGGATCTCGAGTTTGACTTCGCCGTCGAGGAAGGGGCAGTTCTTGGGTTTCGGGATCGAGCCGAGTGGGGTGGTGAACCCCCACTTGATCTGGCGATAGCTCCACAGCCAGGCTATGCAACGATGGTAGTGTATGTGTCTCTCGAGGCCGCAGCTGCCGCAGAGGGCGGTGGTTTCGTTGCACATTTCTGGATGTTGACGGTTGCACCACGAGTCCACAGGTACGCCGAGAGTATGTCGGTCGTGTTTTCTTGTGTGGGCCGCAATGGGACCTTTCGATATCTTCGTTATGATGGGAAAGGAACACGATCGTGTGGTTTGTGTCGAATCGGCAGTAGAATAAGCTCGACATCGGTGTATTAGGTGAGGCTTCAAATATGCAGGAGGCCTTTCTGCAAACGAGACTCGAGTGACGGAGTGACTAGATAGAAGGACGGAAATTGAATCGTTGCTACTTCCTATTGAAGTCTGTAAGGAAGGCAAGGGCGAGGGAAGGCGCACATCTACAACTCACCTTTGTTCCTTCCTCATTGGGAACTGCGATTCCTGCTTATCTAGTTCACCCGCCACTTGTCGTCAATCACCATGCTCATCGAATCTACGAGAGCCCTGATGCTTCTTCAAATGGCAATGCCGTTCATTTCTGTCAACTGGGAACATGAGCCTCTCAAATTTGAACAAACAACAAAAAGCCGAGCCAACTCCGTACAAGAGATGCCCCAAATGGCGGAACAAAACCCAATTTACCCTTCTCTCAGTGAGAATGCTTTTACACTTTTGTTTATGCCACACCGGCCCCCCATCTCATGCAGCTCTTTATTTCCTGTCCTTCTTGGACTTCTTGGCCTTCTTGTGAGACTTCTTATCCCCAAAGGCCTCTTCGTAAATCTCCGCCGCCGTCGGTCCGGCCTTGCGCTTTGATTTGCTCGTCTTGATGCTGACAACGCCTGCCTTGCCCTCCTTGACAGCCTGCTCTGCCTCCGCCCACGCGGGAGCGTCACCTTCGACCTCGTATCTGAGAACCTGTCAGTCCGGGATCGCACAATAGCTGCGGAGTGTTTTGAAACTTACTGGTCGAGGGGAAGGGAGTCGATGAGCTCGCGCTGCTTCTTACGCAACTTGGCCAGAGCCTCATCACCTCCCTCTTCAAGTTCGTCCTCGAGAGAAGTCTCAAGGGGAGCGAACCTGTTGTCCACAACCTCGTCATCGTGGGCGCCGGACGCGTTCTCCCGGCTGACACCAATGGCGTCGGCCTTGGGCAGCTCAGCCTCGACAGCAGCGTTAACCAAGCCGCCGAAGTGAGCCGTAATCTTACGCAGGATCTTGATGAACATGGCCAGCAGTTGCGATGACGGGAGAGACAATTCCTGGGAAATGACGTCCATATCCTTCCTTTGCAGACCAATGGCCAACAGGATAGCCTGCTGCACACCCGTCAACTTGATGTCGGCCTTGAGCTTACCAGAGAAGTACAGGCTAGCAAGGGTGGGGACGAGATCAAGAATGACGTGGTAGTCCAGCATGTTGTTGGCGTAGGACTCGAGACGCTTCAGGTCGAAAGGCGTCAGGAATCTGTCGAGCTCCTCCTTCGTAAGAGCCGTTGGCTCTGTGCCATCGAGCTTAGCACCCGAGCTGGCGGATTCGTCGATGCTGAGCGCCACCACCGACTGGAACTCTCTGAACTGGTAGGACAGTAGCGACTGGAAACGACGCTGGAAGTCCCTGGCGAAAGCACCGAGCCATGACTCGTCTGCAATGTTCTCCAGGGGTCGGAGCATTACGCACGTGTGCTCACCCGTCAGGTCGTTGGCAGTTTGCCTCAGGTAGACGGGGGCAAACGCGGCACGCTTCCAGAACTTGTGGAGCTGCTGCGTCAAACCGTAGCTGACACCGATGTAGTCCAAGGCAGCGGGTCTGATCTCAGAGAATCTCGCAAACAGCGGCGGAAGCTTCTTAATGTCTCTGATGTGGACGTCATCGGTGAGCAGGGAGGTGTTGGCAAGCTCCTCATCCGTCACTCTCGGCAGCGTCTCCTCCATAACGAGATCGGCGTTTTCGGACAGGTTGGTGAACTTTTGCTCGTAAAAGTCGGTGAGAAGCTGCAGAGCCTTGGTCCCGTATCCCATCGACACGTACTCTGGGTTTGTGGCTATCCTCACAATGCGAGCACCCGACAGAGAGGCAAACTCGTCGTCCTGGTACTGCTGACTCACGAGCCAGGGGATCAAATCGCCAGAAGGACGCTGTCCCCTGCTGAGGCTGTTGATGACGCTCTGTCTGCTGATCTTACCTTCCAAGGCAACCTGAATAACACACAGAGGCTCGGGAAGCTTTCCGTCCGACGTGGGTGCAATCAGCACGTAGAGCTCATGAGCAGGTGCGTCACTCATCAGTTGGAGGTCGTCGGGAGAGTTCTTGTAGTGACTGGCAACATAAAGGGCCACCATCTGCTGCAGAAACTTCTCGGGGATAGGGTGGAAGGAAAACAGAGTATCGCGGTTGACCTTTAACAGCTCGCACTGGGATGGGTCGGGGCAGCCCTGGCTGCTAGCCTTAGCCTTGGGGAGGGTGGCATCCAGGCACAGGAGCTTGTTTAACCACTTCTCAACGGAGTCGCCCTGGGCATATCTGATGGGCTCAGAGAGTGTGATCTCACGAAGAGAGCGGCTGGCCTGGTGACTTGAGCCCTGGTCCTTGGCCGCCTTGCCTGTCGTGCGATCAGCAACCTCTGTGTCACTGTTCGTCTTCGCTCCGGGTCTTGACTGCTCTCTCAGCTGCTTGATCAGCTTCAGCGACAGCGAACGGCCAGTACCCTCGTAGCCGTTGATCGTGGAAGCCATGAAGACCAGATAGGGTCCCATCAGCTTGCGAACCAGGGGCAAGGGGATAGCAGCGGCCTCGTCGATGACGACCAGCTCTGCCTGGCCCAGAACGTGAGCATCCTGAGGTCTGATGTACTGAATCGTCTGGCGATGAGCCCGGTGAATGTTGACTCTGACAATGGCCTTGTTGAAGTCGGGGTTCGTAGACTGGATGATTGAGTAGTCGGCGTGATCCGCGTAGCCGAGCGCATCGAAGCCCTTGAAGACGAATTCGAAGAGGGTCTTCAAGTTCTCGGGCGAAGGGGAAGTGATAAAGATGTTGCTGTAACCATGCGCCACAGCAGCTGCAATAGCCACACCCATCGCCGCAGACTTTCCGCGTCCTCTGGCGGCCGTCAACGTAACCGTGCTCCTCAAGGTCTTCTCGGCAATGGCATCCACAAAAGTCAGCAGTGCCTTGGCCTGGTCGACCGTCTTCGCAATTGTAACCAGGGAGCCGACTGGTTGGGTATCTTGTAGGGCCTCCTTCATGTCCTCCAACTCCTGCTGCGTCTCGGTCTTGGCGATGTCCTTGTCGGCCGGCGGAAGTGCCTTGACATTCTTACCACCCGAGATAGGCAAGACGTTCATCTCGTCGTCAATGACGAGACACGAGTCGCAGCTTCCCAAGGAGAGAATGAAGCGCTCATTGAAACGGGCGACCACGTCGTCGTGTGCCTCCGTCCGGTATCTCGCGTGGATGTCCATGGACATGGTGTACAGCTGCTTCAAGCTGGTCATACCCTTGAGCAAGAGCACCACCAAACCGCCACCCTCGACCGTTTCAATCGTCCTGGCGAGAATGTTTGGCGTCATGGCCTCGAAGTCTTGCAGAATGCACATGCCGAAGGTGTTTCCGAGCACCTTCTCGGTCTCCTTGTAGTAGACATATCGGATGTTGTGGAGGGACACGAAGAGCTCGAAAGGGTCGGACTCGTTGGCTTCGCGGGTGCCGCGCTTGATCTCCTTCTTGATCTTGTTCTCGCGCTTCTTGCGGTGACTAGCAGGGCAAAGGTTTTAGCTTCAAGTCCTGTATTAGTGCCTCGGAGGAACGTTTCGTACCTGGTGAAGCCCAAGAGCTTGCTCTTGTATGCCCACAGAACAGACTTGTTGTGCTTGATGTCTCTCTGAGACATCAAATAGTGCAGGTTGACGATAACATCCTTGGCATGGTCTCCAACGACTACGAAGAAGCTGCGCTTCTTCTCCTGCAAGCCGTTGTAGATGAGGTTCGGAATCCGCTGGTCTCTGTACGAAAACGTCAGTATTATGATTCAATCACATGACATGTTTTAGCGGCATAACATACACTGCCTTGCGCGACATCTTGGACAGAGCTCGCAGTTGAAGAGGGGTAGCAGAAGTTGGCGGGTACGGGCTTGCTGAGGGCGGCGCAAACTTACAATTCTCGGGCTCGAGGAAATCCAAAAATTTGGCGGAGAGAACATTTTCTGCCGAGCGGTGAGCCAAGAGGCGGCTGCACCTTGGTGGGGTGCAAGAACCTTTTCGACTATGGCCACCCCACGGCTCACGTATCGCCACACCCTTCGCCGATCACCAACATTCACAGGGACCTAATCAATCTCTTAAGAGACTATCAGGGAGCAATCTGTTACGACTTGAAATATTCTTTTCTCCTTTCCCATAGAACTAGTAATACACTCTTAGTCTTGTGTTGTACAGGATCTCCCTTTCTCTGTTACACCGTCTGGGCCCTGAGTCTCTCTGGAGGTTGCGGCACGGTCATGAGTGATGGCTCTGGATGCAAACAGTTGGATGATTGCTATCTGATGCAAAACTGGCTCTCTCTTCTCTCTATGAAGCCCAAGAACTGGCCAAAAGAAACAGAAGATATGAAACCGTCAGTGATGCCCTGCCGAGAACACCAATTATGAGAGGAACCGTCTGCCCCAATATGCTCGAGAAGAAAGTGAGAAAAACCGCGGGCTAGTATATACAGCCACGCCCGGCTTAAAGTCTGTCCAGCTTGCGGCGCAGGTTGCGCGTGCGCTTCATCAGCTTCTTGTACTTCGCCTTCTTCATCTTCAACTTGCGTTGGCGCTTGACGCTGATCGCTTGCATGGTGTCGTGGCCTTGCGCTTCGTCAAACCTCATCTGGCGCAGGGCCATGCGCTCGAGGAACGAACGGGGGGGCTCGTCCTGCATGATCTTAGGGCTGTGGGCGAGAACCTGAACCTGGCCGTCGGCGTCGGTCGTCTCCTCAATGGTGAACATGGCCTTGTAGACGCGGTGGTGGGGAGCCTCGTCAAGGACATCCTCGATGGCGGACTCGGCGTGAGCATCGGCGACGCCCATGGCTTCGGGCGCGGGAGGGGGGCGGAAGGGAATGAACTGTCCGGCCATGGCGTTGAGCTGGACGTAGACGCTTGACTCGCTGCCGTCGGGGTGCTTGAGGTCGATCTTCTGAACGGGCTCGCCTGATGCATCCAACTCCTGGCTGGCCATGGTCATCTTAGCCATGGCGCCCTCAAGATCGTCGGTCGTCCTCGATAGTGTTGAGATGACGTCGGTGACCTTGTTCGCCTTGGTCCGGGGCTTGAAGATGGCGGCGAAGGCTTCTTCGGTCACAGACTTTGGCATGCTGTGGGTCACAGAGATCGGCCGATGGAGCGAGAAAAAGGTCGACAACCCCAGAGCTACACAGTTCTTGTCAGCGATTTCATCGAATGGTTGCTCTTTGGTGGGCCATACCCTCTTGAGACAGGTGTTGTGTGCTGGGCACGCTGGGAAGCTTCTGCGCGGCCTCCTTCTCGACGCCATCCTTGCTCTTCCGTTTCCGCTTCTCGCCGGTCAACTTGCTAGAGTTAGACGATGACGAGGCGTGAACGGACTGGCCCTGGCCTGGTATGTCCTTGGAGCCGTTGTTGTTGGGACTGGACGGGCTTGAGGAGGACCATCGTCTCTGGTGGCCGCCAGGTCTCGGGTGAAGGGTGATGGTCGCCGTAGCCGCTCTCGGAGCGGAGGTGGTGAGGGAGGAGACGATAGGAGACTGCGGCGCCGAGGCGACCACGCGCCGCACCGATGAGGGCAACATTGTCGCCAGGTGCAGAGTTCGAGGAGTCGTAAGGCGGTTGCGAGGGGGGTTTGGAGGCGGTTGTGGGTGACGCTGTTGCCGACAGAGTCGGTTTGATGTTTGTCAAACCCGAATTTGGCCGCGCCACGGGAAAAGCTCACGGGGGATCCACAGACACCTCGTTACTTAGGCATCAGCTGTGCACAGGCCAATTACGCACTTTCCCCAGGCTTTGAGATGGGCGATAGACTTGCGTTGAAACAGCGTTCACGTCCACAAGTGTCACTTGAACTACTGATTCCAGAAGAACGACGTTGTTTGGCGTTCCAGAATATCTCGACGCCGGAAACGCTTCTTATTGTCCGTCCGCGGGATCGAAACGGTCTTAGGACCCTTTGTCACGGGAACAGAGCTAAGCGCCGACAACCCATGACCAAGACTCCCGCAATTCACGCAATTCACCGCTCGGTTATGACACACCGCCAGGCCCGCGGCAAACTCCAAGACTCTTGTCCTTGGAAACTCGGCGTGGGTGATGTCGAGGAGGCCGTCGTAAAAGTCCTTGCCGTTGTCGCGGTCAGACGAGAGGTCGCAGTGCTCAAGAGAGTATCCCACTTCCCCCGCTTCTTGTCCCATCTTGACAAGCATTCTCCGCATGTTCTCTGCTCTCTTCCTTTCCTTCTCACCTAGCACACCCAAGTCGATCTTATCCACCCAACCCTTGAGGCCGTGTTGGAGGACATTGCGTGCTCGCAGGGTGCTGCCCTTAATATGGCCCATGCTTCCATGCAGCGTCATGCGCTCCCTGCTGGCAACGTACGCGCCGCGGTGCAGGATGTTGTTGTTGTAGAAGACTATGTCGCCCGCCTTCAACTCAACGAATAGTTGGTTGGGAATTTCCTGCTCATACGGATCTGCATTGCGCTCCACGTCCGTTCTGGCTCTGGTGTGGGAACCCGGAACGACGATGAGGCTGTTGTCGTCGTAAAGGGCCAAGTTCCACTGCGCCGAGTATGCGGGCTGGTTCAGGCGATCCATCTCCTCTTCAGCAGTAGCCGTCGCCGGAATGTCGTCTCTATGCCATCGAAGCTCGAAGTCTTGGTCCGGACGGACAAGTAGATTGAACAGTTCCATGACAAGATCATCATCGGTGCATTGCAGCAGCCGCTTTGTGGGTTCGATGACGGCATCCGAGAAGTAGGCTTGAATGAAAACATCGCTATTGGGCATGTCTGGGTGCATCATGCCCTGCACTCCCCAGATGCCTTCGGGCGGTGCTTCGGGTGTAGCAACAGGCCACGGAGGGAACTGTTTCGGAAGAGTCCGGACATTCGGCCATTTGCCAGCCCGGGCCAGCGCTGTGGCTTGCTGGGTGGCGTCCCGGAGCTTCGTGAGCTGTTCCTCCGTAAGGATCGAAGGAACGAGAGCGAAACCATCTCTGTTGAGACTGTCGAGAAGACTAGAAGCCGGCATGTTGGATAGGTCGTTTTGATAAATAGTGCTGGAAAGAGAGTGAGACTTGCGTGTTACGAAAAGTTGCTCTTGGGATAGTATCTCTCAAGTTCCCAGGCCGGCACCAAGTAGGCTTGCAACGTTGCAACGCCCGACTCCGTCGCGGAAGGATCCCGGTCCAAGGTGGGGTGGGTGTAGAAGGGATAGTCTTGTGCGGGCGGTCTTGCTGAAGCAATTGGTCCGACTTGAGATAAGGAACGCGGGGCGCTATGCCGGAAGTGCCCACTTGGCTGTCTTGATAGGAGAGCCGAATCGGAGGCTTGATTCGATCTTTTTGGCACTCATCAATACTGTTAACTATCAAGGTGTTTCCCCAACAACTGAAGAAGGAAACATCATTGATTCCTCGGGGTAGTTGCTCCGCCTTCGGGCTTGTTGGCCTGGCAGAGTTTGGTCGGTGCTAAGCTGGCACGCTCCCTTGCGGGGTCCGTCAGTCAACAACATCAGCCAGATGATAGTTGGAATATGATTCGGAGACGTCGTCGTTTCAGTCTGCGCAGAAAAGAATACTGCAATATGTTCCCGCTGGCCGTGCCCATGACCATCTATATTCCCCAAATACAGTCTATGCTGACTCTAACCCTCCCGAACCCGAGCTAACAAAATGCAAGATCCATGTTGAACCTAAATCAGGATCTCTTATCTCCCTCTTTCCAGATGAGCATTCCCGGCCTTTTGCCTATCTTGAGCCAGGCAACACGCAACTAAATGTCTTATTTGCTGTTCAAGAAGCTGAGATAGGAGTTCCAGCCGATGCTAATGACGTTGACAAAGAGGAGGCGGTGTTGAAGAGGGATGAGCTTGAAGTTGACCATCTGCACGAAAGGCCAGAGCATGTAGTTGGAGGTAAGCGCCGTCTTGTAGTTCTTGTCGAGCTTCTCCTGGACCGAGCCACCCTCGAGAGTGGCCATGGATGACAGAAAGACGCCAATCATGACGGGAGCGAAAACGCCCTGGTCGACGACGACACGGGCGAGGATCTCGGCGTTCTTGTTCTTGAGAACGACGTTGTTCTGGAGGAACTTGAACCAGTTCGTGGCAATGGGGCCGAAGATGGCTGTAGAGATTGTTAACACCCAATGCAATTGAGAGATATCATGATTGACGACGATGGAGCGCATGGAACATACCACCACCGTAAAGGGCCATTCGGGCAGTGCGGGAAAAGTCATGCTTCTCAAGGCCGCGCTTGTCGACAAGCTGCTGGGCGGTGATGTCACCGGTCGCGAAGAGGACACCGGTGGTGATGCTCTGGGTGAGCAGCGGACGAGCCGCGAGTCTTGCCCGATACCTGGAATTGATGCTTCAGCGACACATTATTGGTGAAATCTGGGCCCAGATGAGGCTCACCAGCCGAGCATTGTAAATGTCGTCACAGAGGAGAACTTAGGGAGTTGGCCCGGATGTGGGATTCAATCTGAGAGTAAGAATATGAGTAAAACTCAACGACAGTTACCCAGCACCGTTCAATTGGTATCAGTGAGAAAGTCAGGAAATGCGCGAGGTGAACTGCCGGATGGGTTGGTCGAAGGAGGAAATGTGAGAGGCGAAAGGTTGCTCAGATGTGAAGCTGAGCTACCCTAGCAAGGCAGGTGTGGAAGGCGATCGTCAGGCCTGCAAGCTGCACGTGACAACAAAAGTCACAATCTGGTCTACGAAGACAATGCGGCACAAGGAGAGTTGAAATCTAGAAACTAGGTACCTAACTAGTAAAAAGCAACGACGATAGACACAATATCGAGATAAGAGCTCCAAGGTGGTCTTGGCCAACGGACGAAGAAACATCGTCATCAAAAAAATGGACCGAGTGTTTTATTGGGGGACCTCTTCTCGGTAAGGGATTCTTCGCCTTGCTGCACACCGTCAAATACCTGTCTCTACTCAGTATTTCCAAAGATAGCACTCTGTGCCAACGCCTAATGCAATTTTCGGGGCAACGTTCCAGCGTTCCACTTGGGCTGTTCCCCGCGAGGTGCGCACACCCAGTCTGGGGTGCATCAAACCACCGAGATGTTCAAAGGACATCAATATTATCACGGGCTGTGTTTAACGAATTCTCGGCCACATTCGAGCGCGGGTGTCTCTCTCTGATGGACCGCTGCATTTCCTGCCACAAGAATGAGCATACTTGACTCGTCAACTTAGAACCGGTGCGTCACAAAGGGTCCACGTCGCGCTCAATAGAAATCTGCCTAGCGTTTTCACCATAAAACAGTCAAAATCAAACAGGGAGTGCACTTAGTGGCGGAACTGCGTCAATTCAAGTTTAAAACTTCGTTCCGTGGCATCAGTAACAGCCCTCATTGAGAGGAGATGCAAGTGGCTGCGTCCTTCTTCGTACCGCTGCACCAGGCAAGCGGACACAATGAAAAACTTTGTGACTTTGATGTATCAAAAATTGCCACAGCGATGGTCCCGAAGGACAATCGAGAGCGGTCGACACCGCGATGTGCAATGCAGGCCTCCCACTCTGGATGCCGGATTTCTTGATCCCCAGCACCCCCATGAAGGTAAGTATGAAGAAGAGAAGAAGGGAAAAAGTTCAAAAGGTGGGAGGATGGGCAGGTATATATAGGTAGCTTGCACACAGGCCAGGTGCGCGCAATCAGTAGGGTACGTGCCCCCGGCGGGTACTTAGTTACATACACCCTGAGGCATAAGGTAGGAAGCTAAGGTACTTGTAGCTTCGTGGTTGCCGTGGAAGTGGCAGGTGCCAAATAGGCAGCAGAGGGAAGGTGCAAAAGAAACCCTCCGTGTTCGCTGAGAACCTTGGGGGTTGGCATGCGAGGGTCAGCGCGACGGCCAAAAATCAACGCCGCTTCACTCACAAGTTGGCATTCGCAAGAGCGATATTGATGGCGGACTTGTGTGAGGCAAGCATGGCCCTGAAGTCGTCAACATCTCCTTGGATATACTTCTGCGTTATCCAGTCGCGCATGCTGGGTCGCGATATCTCATTGGCATGTTTTGTGCATCGGGCGATGATTTTGCGATATTCCTCCCTCGCAAGTGCAGCCCGTAAAGGCGAAACTTCCGACGGCTAGAACGCCGGTCCCGATAGAAAGTGGGTCCATGTTGACGCCGTATTCTCGGCCGGACTGACGGCTTGTGTGACTTGGACGGAGGATCGTTTGGGGATGAAAGTGCTTTCTATGGGTTTGCACAACACCGATGGTCTGACTGCCGTCTGCCACTGCTTATAAGCTTCTCCATCCCCGTCACCTCCACCCCCGTCACCCGCCTCATCAACCAGACCCCTAGTTGACACGTCGTCTCCTCCGCTGAGCGTAGTTCTCTGTACGTCTACTCCCACACCGGAGCTCCATCCGGTATCGATCTTTGCCCGCAGGCCATCCCACCAGCGTCGTTCTTTTAGCCCTGGTGAATCGCCCGGAACGGCGCGCGGCTTAGCCGACCTACGATTGGCTGTCCTGGGTTAGCACTATACTTGGTACGATCGAAATAGAGTTGGCTGATCTGTCGACGATGAGCTACTTCCTACCGCGGAGACAGGTTAAGTACCTGAGAAGCTCACGCACAGTCTTGTCCCCACTCCTCCACCTCAAAGACGTCGTTCGGACGTAAATGGAGCCGAGTACTTCGACGTCTTTATTCCCCACTGCTTTCTGGAAGTCATCGTCCATGAACATCTCCACCAGGCGCACAACCAGCTACAATGAGTGATCCCAGATGAGGGACCCAAAGCGTTTCACAGACATGCTAGCTGCAGAAACAAGCAGCTTCCCCCAAAGCTACGGTCTGAGTTCCCACAGCACTCGTGGCCATGGAAAGACCACCTCAGTACGCGGATTGCCATCGAAGAAACACATGCCCAGAAGCCACTCGCGTACGCGAAGTTGAGGCGCGCCGTCCCCTTGTAGACACTCCGCATCGACTGTGAGAAAGACGTAGCGGTCGATGTCGTTAGGGTCAAGCGCCTGTGAACCAGCAGCGGCCTTCCTTGCCGAGGTAAAAGCCCAAGTTACGGGTGGCTGCAATTCATACTCGTCCCGGTCGGACCATACGAAGATAGCGCGGTACCGTGCATTAGGCTCCGAGTTGGACCAAATACTATCAAGTCTCAACTTCCGGCGGGCCAGAATCGCGGCCGCGAGCTCCGTAGTCATGGGTGTAGATACGTGTCGGTAAAGGAGAGGTACTTGTCTCCGGCTTGGGCGCCGGCAGCGAGATATTCACCAATCCGGCCAGCGAGCCAACGATAACCCAAATCACACAGGTGAAATATGAGCTGCAGCAGACATCTCCGTTCAACCAGCTTCAGACGGGCTCTGGATACATCAACCCGCGGCAATTTTCGCCACAATTTTGCGGTATCGATAATGGAACCCAGCTTCCACAAGTGACCTATCACAGGAGGCTCATGTATGTGTGGATAAAGGGGGCCCTCGAGCTCGTCCATGTGACATGGCACGTGGTGTGGCTGACGGCAACCGCCACACATACATGAGCCTCCTGTGATATGACCCTTCGTGGAGATTCCTGTTATTATCAACCTCACATTGGTCAGTCGACAGCCTTTATTGGACGTCAACCGCCGCGTGGTGTCTTCAGGTGCACGAAATCGTCGGAACATAGTCTCTCGGAGAAATCCCCAACGCCATTAGCCAATTCGAATGGCCCCTTCCTAAGCTGACATAAGATAGTATACCCTCGTCACGGCCAGATCCGTGACTTGCATCTCCCATATGGATGTTAGCGTCGGTATTTATGCTCGCCCCAGTCAGTTCTAACTCACAGCGCCAGCGGAGGCGGGGTCGTCGTACCAGGCGCTGAAGGCGATCTTAGCCGGTGCCCGGGCGGACCCGTCGACACTCAGACAGGCTCAGTTCGAGGACCTTCTCGCCGTCGATACCGGCAAGAAGATCTTCAACCTGCGGACGTGGTGGAAGCAGGTCTTCGGGTTCGACGTCAGCGTGCTCGAGATGCTGGGCATGGGCTCTCTATAAACGTTGCGGCAGCGTGCGGTGGAGGGTTTGGTGGCGATCGCAGCCGAGGCCGAGGCTGCCGCTGCGTAAAATAATGTGGTTTGGATGATACTGAGAAGAAGAAGAAGCCAATTATGTATACACAAACTTTTGCGTAAGTAACAAACAATAGCGTGTTGACGCAGGACGACTCCTAGAACCCAACAGGGCATATACACCAGAGCAGAACTTAGTGGATAATGCAATTTAATCTTGGTTCAGCCGTGAGCTGTGCAATCTTTACCAGTCTTGGGAATCATCTGGATTATAATTGTGACAATTCGGGATTATCCAACGTCACAAGTGCATTGCGTTGTTCTTGCAATGTTCCATAGATCATATGTTGCTTCTACTACTATTAAATGATTATGATATTTAATGCTTAAACTCTCTCTTAGTCTTTTTAGAATACTAACTCTTTTATCTTTTTTTGCTTTCTAACCTTAGTACTTGTATCTATCCCTGTTAGCATATGGGGACCTGCAGTAGGATGAAGGGAGTTATATATCTATTTTATAACTTACCAGTAGAAGAGTCTACCTTACTATCCAATAGACCTATACACCTGCCTGTACATTTGATTTTACATTCAGGATAACTGCTCCTTTTCATTTGGTTTGGACGGCATTGTAGGAGGGGGGGCGGATATCAAGCAAAGTCGACAGGAAAACCCAGTTCAGTCTCATACATGCTCGTCGTTTTCTAATGGCATCCGTATGGACCGCGGGACGACCAAGCTGCACGACAATGGCGCGTAGAGTATTTGCCTGGAAAGTCAGAATCCAAATGTGGGCTCTCCAGAGTGTGATAAACTAGTGAGGGAAGATAACGGCAGCCTGATGGGCTAATGCTGATGCAACGTGGCAGGCGGTTGGTGGCACCAGTGTATGCACCCGCGATTGGATGCTGCAAACAGGGATGAATTCCAACTTGGGCGAAGACAGACGATCAGGCTGTCGAAAGTAATAGTAATCACAGGCTAGGCACCGGCCACGACAGGTTTCTCTCTTCTATTATACAACCTGATTGACTTTAGGGGCTGTTCCTTATCTTAGAACGCTCGTCTGCTGTCCAATTGCGCAGACAAACGGCACAGAGTAGCTGTTTTGTCCCTTGTTACCCTTGGTGCGATTATGGGATACCGTGTGACGGTTTCGTGGTACCTTGATGAAGGTAAGAATGATGTCCCGAGGAGGCTCAGGTCTATCAAGCCCGTTGATGTCATTTGTCCAAGTCATGATGGACCCAAGCCAAGACAGATAGCTAGCTCTTGGCATATTCTCTTAAAGGAAAACCAGGATTAATATAGCAGATTCGCAATGTTACAAAACGACCTGCTTCCCTCATCGAGACGCGTAGTGCGAGCATGGGTTGTTGACATGTCAGCGACGTGATTGCTCCCCCTGACCCCCCTCCCCCACCCCCCTCCCTCACCCTCGGTCACCAGCCGAATATGTTGTTCCAACTCTTATATAGGGGGGAGAAGGTTGCAGCTGAACGAACGACAAGCCAATGTTAACCTCACAAGCGCGGTTTATTTCAGTCAGCAACGCGCCTCCTTTCGCTAGCCCGGCATTATGTCAACAGCCACAGCAGATAACGCCAGCGCCAGCTGCCTTCTCCTATACGCCCTCGGAGCGGCGGTGCTGGCCGCTCCGCTGGCGTACCGCACGTTCCACGGCGACGCTACCGACGCCGACAACCTGTCGTCGCGCGTCCGGCGCCTCGCACCGTGGGGCCGATCGCCGCCGCCGCGGTACGTCTACGAGCCGCTGGCCAAGGGCCAATTCCGACTCATGCACCTCCTGGCGGGGGCGGCGGACGACGACGTTGTCCGCGTCAGGCTCGTCGTCGAAGCCGTCGACGCGGCCCCCGCTTACCACGCCGTCTCGTACGTCTGGGGCGACCCGGGGAGGACGGCCGGCATCCTCTGCGAGGGCGCCGAGATCCGCGTCACCACGAACCTGCTCGGCGCCCTCCGCCGGTGGCGCCTCGCCGACGAAGACGTCGTGCTATGGGCGGACGCCGTGTGCATAGACCAGCGGAACACGCTGGAGAAGACACACCAGATCGCGCTCATGGCCGACGTCTACTCGCGCGCCGCGTCCGTCCTCGCCTGGCTCGGGGACGACGACGCCGGCCTCGAAGGGCTCGAGGCCCTCGTCGACGCCGCGCTCGGGAAAATCCCCGAGGTCTTTCCGGACGACCCCGCGCGGAACAGGGCGAACGCCGTCGAGGTCCCGAGGTCCCTCGATTGGGTCCCGCTGCGTTCGCTGCTGGGCCACGCCTGGTTCGAGCGCAAGTGGGTGATCCAGGAGGCCATCCTCAACGACCAGACCTGGCTGCATTGCGGCCGCTTCCGGCTGCCCCTGGGGCCCGTATCGGAGCTCTGCCTGCGCATGGCGACGTTCGGCATCCAGCTCCACATCGCCGGCCAAGCCATGGACCCCTCCTCCTCCATCTTACCGATCCGCCTGCAAAACCTCGCCATAATGCGCGGGAGCCACTGGTACAACGGCAAAGAACCCGTCACCCTCGTCGACGCCCTCAAGGCCACGCGCACCTTCCACTGCACCGACCCGCGGGACCACATCCTTGGCATTCTCGCCTACGCGACCGACGTCGAGCGTGACAGCATCTTGCTGCGCGACAACCTGTACTCCTTACCGGTCCAGGAGTGCTACCTCCCGCACCACCAAGGCCCAGCTCCTGGAGAAGCGCAGCCTCGCTGTGCTAGCGTTGGCGCCGCAAAAGGCCGCCCCGGACGCCGCCTGCCCCTGGTGGTACCGCCCATACATCCGCTGGCAGAAGCGCCGGCTGCCCGGCCTGCCGTCCTGGGTGCCCGACTTCCGCCTCCACGAGAACGAAACCCTGCCGGCCTACACCTTCCGGCACGGCAAGTTCTCGGCCGGCGGAGCCGAGGTCGGGACCATCCAAGTCATTGACGACAAGGTTCTCCGTTGCAGCGGAATCGTGGTGGACGTGGTCAAGGACCGCGGCGTCTTCTGGTATGACATGCCGCTCCCGCCCAAGCCCGCGCGGATGCCGCCCCCGCTGGACAAGCTGCACATCTCGGTCGCTCGGCAAATACTGAAGTTCCTCGACTACTACAGGGCGTGCGTGCGCCTGGCGTCGCCGTCGGGCTCGGAGGACGTCCGGGACCTGGCCCCGGAGCGGCTTGCGTCCCTGTGGAAGGCCTTGACATGCGAGCGGATTCAGCTGAGCGACCGCATCGATGTCGACCTTTCAGAGCAGTTCAAGGCATTGGTCGTCGGGATGGAAACGTGGTTCACCTCGGAGGACCTGGGTGAGGCGAACAAGGGGTGGTTGAGCGTCTTGACCTCCGGCCAGGCGCTCGAGTGGAGCATCATCGGGCTCGGGCTCCCGCGGCGGCTCTCCCTCACGGCCGAGAGCAGGCTCTGCATGGCACCGACTGAGGCGAGGGTGGGCGACGTGATCTGCGTCCTGCTCGGGTCCGAGGTCCCTTTTGTCATTAGGCCCACGAGACGGGGCATGTACGAGCTGATCGGAGAGGCCTACGTCAGTGGCATAATGGATGGCGAGGTTCTCTCTGGCAAGTACGATCAAGTGGATATTATGTTGGAATAATGAGTTAGGACAGACAGCGTAACCTGGAGGCTAACTAGCCAACTCCCAAAACCCCTTATCATAGGCATCCTCTGTTGACCATGTTGAGTTGCAGGGAAAGAGAGAAGCACACTCTGTAGAGCCTGGAAGATGTGGAGTCTACATGCCTACGGAGAAGAGGGGGAAATTACAATCTTCGATTGAATAAAGCCCGAGCTCGTGAGCAACAGGGAGCAGAGTCTCATCACTGCCAGTCCCAAAAAGAAGGCCTTACTCGGCACGCATGACCAAGATGTACGCATACAATAAATAAAATAAAAAAACGCTCGGTGCCATGAGGCCCATCCCCTCGCGCCCTTCCCTCCTTTTTATTTCAGCCCTCAAATGGTCCTCGCCTCAAGCCCCCTCTATCCTTCTCCCCCTTCTCCTTCGGCAAAATGGGGAAATGAAATATAAAAAAGAAATTAGGGATGTTTTCCGAGAAGGCAAAAAAAAAAAAAAAAAAAGGATGACGCTCCGTTTTTGTATATGTTTCCGCAGTGCGATCCGGTCACCGGGGAATCCCAACCTGCCCCTCATGATAATGCTGATCGAAATGCCAAAATGCAACACGACCTGCCGCGCTCCGGCCCTTTGTTCCTTTATTTCCTCTGCCCATATGTACAATTATGTTGCGTTGCTAAAAACATTAAAAGAGGCACATCATCCTTGCGCCTTGCTGTAGTTCTGGCTGTCTTTGGTAGACACAAAAAGATACGAGGCTGTTCGAACTCCTCGTGGCTATGACCTTCGATTATGTTCCTCCTTTTCTAATCTCTCAACGTTTTCCTCCGTCAAGGAATCGCCCGCGACTACCGTCTGGAACGATTCTCCTCGCCGCGGGAGCTTTTTGTCTCCGGCAGCGTCCATAAGCTTCCCTTGCTGGACCTGCAGAGCGAGCTCATCCGTCTCGGACCGTCGCATCGGTTTGATGGGGTCTCCTGCAGTCGGAGGGTCAAACGGCGACGGCTCATACGAGTTGTTCCTGGTCAGAGGCCGAGGCGTCACCGGATCACCCCGGCTTTCCACGTCTGGCTCTCGGCTCTGGTCTTGTTGCCGCCTCAAAGGTGCGGCGGCTTGCGTCGATTTCAGTGGTGACGTCGAATCCGGCAGATCGTGCCCGACACCGGGAATGTCCGCATTACTGCAGTGTTCGGCCGTGTCTGAGCAGTCTGACATGGAGCCGTCTGAGCCTTTATTGACGACAGGTCTTTGTGGCCTCTTGGCCAAACTCCATCGAACCAACATTCTCTCCAGTGTTTTGCTCTTGACTGGCTTGGCAAGGTAATCATCCATACCCGCCCTGGTACACTTCTCCTTGTCGCCTTGGATTGCCGACGCCGTCATTGCAACAATGGGTACGTCTTGCAGGTACGCCTTGTATGGCACGTGGTGCCGCAATAGATGCGTACATTTGTAGCCATCAATGACAGGCATTTGGACGTCCATGAGGATGATGTCTGGCTTGGCACGCTTGCCTTGTTTGGCTGCCGCCATGTATTCGAGAGCGTCTTTTCCGTTCCAGGCTGCTGTCACGCTGAATCCAAGCTTCATGATTGTCTTGGTGGCAATCTGTTGATTGATGGCACTGAAAAAGGAGGTTAGAGCACGACGCGCAACTACAGACTGAGGGGTAGTTGACTTACTTATCCTCGACCACCAGGACACGGATCTTGGCGCGATCAGAATGAGGCAGCATCTCTTCTTCCGAGGCTGGTGGCGTTCGAACGGAGAGTCGTCGAGCGGGCGATCTGTTCTTGTCCGAAAGAAACTGTGAAGAGTCGCCAGACGCGGGGGGTGTACTAAGCAGTTGCTCATACTCGGAACTGTTGCACGACACACTCATTTCGGACTGCAGCCTGTCCGGGATAGAACCGATTTCCACCAAGGGTCCACCACGTTGTTGTTGAGGCTTGCTGAACGGGACCCAGAATGTCGCGACGGTTCCGTTTCCCAGCGTGGATTCCAACGTCATGTTACCGTTCATGAGCTCCAGGAGGTTCTTGCAAATCGTCAGGCCCAAGCCGGTACCGCCAAACTTCCTCGCTGTGGATGCGTCCCCTTGACTGAATGGCTGGAAGAGCTTCTTCCGAACCTCTTCCTCGATGCCGATGCCGCTGTCCTCGACGATGAACTTGACAACGATGCTGTCTGATGTTTCCTTTTCCTTCTGGACAGAGAACTTGACATAGCCCTGATTTGTAAACTTGATGCTGTTGGTCAAAAGGTTCGTGATGATCTGGCGTACGCGGCCGGGGTCTCCAATGACGACCAAGTCGTTTTCGACCTCTCCGGAGATGTCTGAACGAAAGTCGAGATTCTTCCGTTCTGCAGCAAAACTCAGCATTTTCCTCACGTCCGTCACGATGACTGACAGGGAGAACTGGACTTCCTCGATGTCGAGGCGTCCCGATTCGACCTTTGAAAAGTCGAGAATATCGTTGATGACGGTCAAGAGCGCGTTGGCCGACCGCTGGATGTTCTCCACATACTCGGTTTGCTCGGCATCGAGCTCCATGTCCCGGAGCAGCTCGGCCATACCGATCACACCAGTGATGGGCGTCCGAATCTCGTGAGACATCTGTGCAGCTGTCAGCGTACTTCTTCGATCGTGATAGGCTACCACCAACGTTGGCAAGGAACTGGCTCTTCAGTCGGTTGGCCTCTTTCGCGGCCGCCTCGTTGGCCATCGCTTGCTTCTTCTCGCGGGACTCCTCCTTGAGACCCTCGGCCTTCTCCTTGAGCTCACTGACGTCCATGATGACACCGATGACGCCCTCGATGCACGTCTCGTTGGTACTGATGCCTTCCTTGGTCTTTTTGCCGAGAATCGGCAGGAACCGCGTGCGGTACCAACGGCCATCCATGCCGTGTTCTGCCACCTCTTCCGTCTTCCCGCCCGCCAGGATGTCTTCGACGGGTCGCAGAAACTTTGGGTGCTCTCCGGTCTTGAGCTGAGGGTTGAGGCGGTTGAAGGCTTCGTACATGTTCTGTCCCATAAACCAGCTCGAGTGAGGAGGCGTGCTGTCTTCTCCGTTGCTGTCCCAGATGAGAGCACCCTCCAACATTGTGAGTTCGAGGTTGGTGTTGACAGTGAAAATCGTGACTTGTGAGTGCGCTAGAACGCTGAGCAGCTGCTGCCTGGTGCTCCTGGCCGCGAGCTTGGCCTCAATGCCTTCGTTCACGTCTGTGCAGGTTCCGAACCACTTTTCGATTTCGCCAGTCTCCTTATTTCTCAGCGGGAGAGCCCTGCCCAGCATCCATCGCCATTCGCCAGTTTTGCTGCGGCACCGGTACTCGGTTACGTACGGGTCGCCTGTCTTCAGTGAATGTCTCCATCTCTTGGTGGTTTCGGGCATGTCGTCCGGATGAAACGGATGTTTCCACCCAAGACCCAAAGACTCTTCGGGTGTTAGACCCGTATAAGTGTACCAACGGGTATTGAAGAAGTCGTGATAGCCGTCTGCTCGCGTCGTCCATACTAGTTGTGGCATAGTATCGCAGATCAGCTTGAAACGCTCCTCGTCCCGCTCCCTTATCTCAGTAATCTCTTCCGTCATCTTGGTGACATCTCGGAAGGTGACCACGCCGGCCAAAAACTCGCCCGTGCTATCGTCTCGGATCGCTTCTCCCAAGGCGTCGTAAACCCTCCTCTCGCCGTTCTCGACGATCATCCCGACACGCATATTGCTGAACGGCTTCTCCGTCCGCAGGAGGACGGAGATGGGGTACTCGCTGACGTCCAGCTCCCTCGAGAACTCAGCGTCGTAGACTGTCCAGCTGGGAAGTAAGTCGAACCCATCTGCGGACTTTTCCAAATCGCTCTCGTGGCGCAAGAGGGCACGAGCGGCCCGATTGGGAAAGGTTACACTGCCGTCCTTCCACATGGCAAGAATGGGCATCGTTGTGTTGTCGAGTAGGGCGTCCCTCATGAGAATCATCTTTTGCAAAATGGAAGGCGTGCTCGCGTGTGCTGCTGTTGAGGGCGGGCCCATGGGAGGAAACGGGCTCGACGACAGCGAAACCGCACTAGGGCTTATGCGGAACGACGGCGAACTCGAGTCGTGACTGGAGCTGACTGAGGGCGGGTTCGAATTTGAGATGGTCTTGCGGTCCGCTTGCTCCAAAATGGCGGGCTTTGCCACGGCTTTGCGACCCGACACGAGCGATGACGGCGGTGATTGAGAGCTCGTAAAGGTCAAGGTGAAGTAGACCTGGTGATCCTCGATTTCCCATATCGTCACAATCATCTTGGCGTAGACCTGGTGCGCCGATGCACCTGACCTGTTCCGAGAATCGTATCCTGGCTTACCAAGCTCTTTCCTGGAAATGACAACATCGACCACGGCATCTTTGACCGTCGACGGGCTCGGCTGGGTATCCAGCAACGGCGGGGCCAGAGAATGGGGTGTCGGCGTCGCTTCCCCGCCGTAACCTTGGTCGAACAGGTCGGCGGCGTCCTTGGAAGTCTGTCTCGCGCCCATTTCGACCACAAGGGAGTCCAAAAACGCTTCCCACCCAACCCAAACGGGGCGCCCTTCCTGGATCATATCGATACCCACCTGGGACAACGATTGCCCTCTCAGCCTTTCGCCTACGTGAGAGTTGTCGTCTAGCGCGTCGTCGGTCATGCCCAGCATCCTGCCCATTGCTTCGTTTGCAAGCACCACGGTCTTGAGATTGTTGAGGACCAACAACGGGACGGGAAGATATTGCATGGCGGAGAATGCGAGCTGGCCAGGGGTGATGTAAGGCATCGATATGCGAAACGGACTTGCAGAATGTGAGCGCTTGCCGTCGGCGGCCGCCAGGTTCAAGTTCTCGCGGAAGAAGCGACCGCTACTGCTGGTCGTACTTGGTGCGCCATCGCTGCGCATTGAACCGATGTCGGGTTGCGATGTTGTGTCGAAGTCGAAGCCGCTATCTCCAGAAGAAGGCGGCAGAGCCGTCTTGAGAGGGGCAACTACGGGACCGTCGCCACG